AGAGGTATCTATGAACAGAGACTTCTCCCCTCTCCCCTGCCTTGAAGCCACACTCAAGGGCCCCTTTCCTCCTGCATGTGCCAGGGGCTGGCCAGCCAAAGGGAGGGGAGGAAGCTTTGTGACAAGCTGAAAGGCCCCGGATGAGAGAGAGAAACAATAGAAAGAGGTAAGAAAGCAAGAGGAATTTCTGTGACCCTAGGGACAGGTCTTCTGCCCTTGGAAACTGATGGATGCTGGAACCAGAGGAGAGGCCTATGGGACAGCTGAGAGAAGACCAAACCCTGTGAAAAGTAAAATACGGCTCTTCTAAGATTTTCATTTTATTTGAAAGACAGAGAGTCAGAGGGAGATGTTCCATCTGCTGGCTCACCACCCAAATGCCCTCAAAAGCCAGAGCGGGACCGAGCCAAAGTCAAGAGCCAGGAACTCAACCCAAGTCTCCCATGTGGGTGGCAGGGGCCCAAGTGCCTGAGCCATTGCCTGCTGCCTCCCAGTGTGTGCGTGAGCAGGAAGCCGGAGTCAGGAGGCAGCTGGGACCTGACCCTAGGCACTCTGACACGGGATGTAGGTGTCCCAAGCAATGTCTTAACCACTGAACTGGATGCCTGTCCTCGGCTCTTTTTAAAGGTAGTGTATGGGTTACATCACTCTGGGGTGTTTCTTCCCAACTAAAATATCTGCCAGAAAAGCAGAGATGCTTTTCTGAAGAGACTGGGAAATGGAAAGAGGTATAAAAGAGCTAAACAATTTTTTTTAAAAAAAGGAGAAAGAAAAGAAAGATCAGGCAGTGTGGTCACATGTTACTTTAGTACCAGGAACTAGTGCTAATCTGGAACCACGTAATCCTGGTGGTGAAGTCCGGGGGCTGCTCATTATTTCTTAGACCCCGGATTGCAGACTCACTCTCCTGCTAGAATTTATTTGTAATTCTCAAATCACCACCTGTGGTGCTTTCGTGACCCGAACGGAGTGGTGAGAAATCCAGGTTGTCCAACGAGCCTGTTCTCAGCTGAGGCTGAACACACACTCCGCCTCCTGGTTTCAGCTCTTGCCCAGTAAACAAGTGCCTCGCTGTGCTCCTGTGTAGCGCCAGGTTCTCCTCCATGTTGTTGTGCTGTTGGCTGACTTCGCTGTTTAAAATGGAGGCCAGCTGTGGTGCAGGAGGACGTGCTGCCCGTGTCCCCGCACCTGAGAAGGCGGGGGTGTCTCCGCAGACGACGCGCGTGTGAGATCATCTCCTTCAGCATGAGTTTCAGTGCTTTGGGCTGTGAGTGCCATATTAATGAACCAACAGTCCATGTGTTGATCGTTTGACAAAATGTTGAGAGAGGAGGCTCACAGGAACCCAACCCTCTGTTCCCTGTAGGGGTAATAGTTCAGTATTTGCCATTCGGTGTTTAAGATGTCTGTATAGGGTGTACCTACTGAAAATAACAAGAATCGACTATACATATGATGTGTGTCTTATTCATCATCTCATTTTAATGCCCACAAAGTGTTCTATCTTGGCTTCACAGATAAGGAAAATGAGATTATATGTGTTAGATCACATATTTTAGAGCTAAAGAAGGGAACGCCCCAGCCCTTGAACAGGAGCGTCAGGTCTTAGGCAAAGGAGGCCAGCCCCATATCAGGGTTGGCAGAAAGACAGAGACAGCTGGGCTTAGCTAACGGCAGAATAAATCTGAGGGTCGAAGGACCGCACGTGGTCCCTCTGATGTCGTCTGCACTGGTCAGACTGCAATCAGCACAGGAGAGAGGCCCAGCACGGTGAGGAGTCTGGGAACCAGTGCATCAGGAGAGAAGCAGTGGAAGGAATAGGACTTGCAGTGAGAAATGGCGTGGAGGCAACCGGAGGGATCTAAAGGGCCACCTTGTACTTGAAGAACCAGATGGAAAGCAGAACCAGGACTGCAGGTTGAAAGTTGCGGGGGAGCAGATCTTGACTCAATGTGAGGAACATTTTCCTACAAGCCAAGGCTGGAAATGGGTGGTCTACAGGCCGTGGGCCCTGGACACACATGTCGTTGGCTTGCAGTGGTTTTCTTTGTTCTTTTTTGCAGCAAGTAATGAAATGCCTTTCTGCAGGATTGTGTTCCCGTTCCCACAGCCTGGACCACTCCCTGTGCTCTTAGCCCCAGGTCCCTCAGCCCTGCCGGAAGTAGGCTTGCCGATTTACTAAATAAATAGTTACACTGAATTTTAGGCAAATGACAATTTCTTAGTGATGCCCCATGCATTACCTGGGATGTAATGATACTGCGTTTGTATTCTAATACTTGGGATTTACGGTATTTAATCCAGCAAAACCCTACTCTGGAGGCTTTACATGGCAGCCCTGGGTGTTTCACCGTGAGGCAGTGATGTTCTCTGACTGGCACATTTCCAGAGAAGCGCCTGGCACGGCAGCAGGGCTGAAATGACTTAAGTAGGCGCCTGCTCAATGAGGTTCCTCCATTTCAGAGCAACAAAAGGTAGGAGGTACCTGAGTAGGCAGGTGCTGTCTGGGTGTGGTTAACAGGTACGATGCTGGCTTCTTGTTCTAACACCAGCAAGAAGAGCTGAGATGGACTGACAGATGAGGACATCGAATGTTTTTTTGACCTCTCATAACAAATATCCTAGACAAATTCCTGTAAGTCCAAGTTGATCGGCGTGTGTGTCAGCTGAGGAGGATGGTGGCGAGCTTTCTGGGTGAGCGCATGAAGCAAGAGGCATTTAACACCCCCGAACGATCATTGTTTTGATCTGTCAAAAGCCATCTTCTGTGGTGGTTAGTCATCCTGACACGTGTTTGCCTATCCTGCTGCCAGAATGCTTTTCTGGTTGTTTTGAACAGACTGTGACCAGCTCGCCAAGGAACACAGCAGCAGTTGGTAGGAGAGAAGAGGCTGGCGCTAACTTTCTCTTTATCACAGCCTCTTTGCTTGGTGGGAAGTGAGTGGCAGGACCTCTGAGGTCACTTCCAGAAATTGTGCCATTAAAACTAAGTGGCGGGGCAGCGCTGTGGCACAGTAGGTGAATCCTCTGCCTGAAGCACCAGCATCCCATATGGGCACCAGGTTGAGTCCCAGCTGCTCCTCTTCCAATCCAGCTCTCTGCTGTGGCCTGGGAAAGCAGTAGAAGCTGGCCCAAGTGCTTGGGCTCCTGCACCCATGTGGGAGACCCGGAAGAAGCTCCTGGCTCCTGGCTTCAGATCAGCCCAGCTCCGGCCATTGCGGTCATTTGGGGAGGGAACCAGTAGATGGAAGACCATTCTCTCTGTCTCTCCTTCTCACTGTCTGTAACTATACTTCTCAAATAAATAAATAAAATCTTTAAAAAAAAAAAAGCAAAACTAAGTGGCAGCAGTCTATGGTCATCAACTTGCCTTTCAGTGTGCTCCTTCTGTCGGCTAGAGCTTGCAAGTGTGTCTAACGGGACCTGAGAGAGCACCTGGCTCAGTTCTCGTTTTGGACGTAAGGACAGTCAGCTCCGTGGTGGGACGACGAGCTCCAGGCCTGGTGGCTGCAGGCAGCTCGTGGGCCTTGAACTCTGCACAGTTCAACAGCTGGCTCCCGCTCCTTCTCCTTGGTTCACTGCGCCTCCCTCCCTCCCTTGCACCCACTTTTCTCAGAAGCTCTCACTTGGAGCAGAAAAATGACAAAATACAGGGCATATAACAAATGAAAACATCCGGGGGAGAGTATACACTGCAGTCTGGAGCACACACAGAGGGAGGTTTAGCAATTCAAATTCGTCCTTGGGAAAAGATCCTAGAAGACTTGGGCTTTGCCGTCTCCTTTAAAGGCAGGTGCCTCCAGCATGTGCCCAGGTTTATGCAAATGCCCACTCCAGTGATGCTGTGTGTTCAGCACTCTCCTCTTCATCCAGATTAAGTAATGAAATCTCAGGGTTATTCAAAGCCAGCATCACTCACCTAAGCAACACTTCAACCACAGCGAAGTAGGATCAAATTGTCTACCATGCCCTTTCTTTTCACAAAGAACTCGAGCTTACTGTTGAGAAGGAACTGACCCAAAAGTCTCGGGATCTTACACAAAGGACCGCAGGTGACTGAGAGCTGTGCTATCTTCAAGCAATAACCCTGTCCTTTCTGGTTATTCTTTTTTTAAAAAAGATTTATTTATTTATTTGAAAGGCAGAGTCATAGAGGGCGGGGGTGGGGGGGGGGAGAGAGAGAGAGAGAATCTATCTTCCATCCGTAGGTTAACTTCCCAAATGGCTGCAACAGGCCAGGGCTGGGCCAGGCCAAAGCCAGGAACCAAGAGCTTCTTCTGGGTCTTCCACCTCGGTGCAGGGGCCCAAGCACTTGGGCCATCTTCCACTGCTTTCCCAGGCCACAGCAGAGAGCTGGACTGAGAGTGGAGCAGCCAGAACTTGAACCGGTGCCCATATGGGATGCCAGCATGGCGGTTGGCAGCTTTACCACTCTGCCACAGCACCGGCCCCCTACTGGTTATTCTTGATAGGTATTCTGTTTCCTCAATTGGACCCTCAGAAGACCCTGTCCTTTCTACCTTTTAAACTTTTCAAGGGCTTTTACTTACATTCCACACACAGATCTCTAGCTAACATGCATGGAGTGAATGAGATGGAAATGCAAAGAACAGTGGCTTTTGATGCAGCAGTAGCCTGGACCAAACTCTGACTCCTCCATTCATTCACCAGCTGGTGAACTTGGGTAAATTTTTAGACCAAGTCTCAGTTCCCTGAGAAATCACCTCTCTTCCAGAGCTGCGGAGAGAAAATGGGGTAACGTAGGCACTCTGGATGGCAGTCACCAGTGCTGTGCCTGTTGCCTTGGTGTCAAACAGAAGGAAAAGGAACTGCCACATAGCACTAGGGGTTTATATCCTTTTAATGCAGTCCCAGTTTGTTTGGCCCAAAGACCTAGACTGGAAATCTGACAAATGAGTTGCTTTATGTGACTGTTTGCTATAGCAGGCGCTACATGGCTGATCCCTGAAAGCATTTAAGAGAGGTGTGACAGTCAGCAGTGGGATGCATGTCAATTATTTTATTTAGGATGCCTATTTGGACCACAAGGCTAGCCAGCATTCAGACCCCAGGAGGAGGCCCACGGCTCCGTCCCGCCACGGCTCTGTCCCGTCACGACTCCACAATGCGGCGGAACGACTGCACGGCCGGGGACACCGCACCCCAGTCGACGGGCTTCCGGTACTCCTTCTTGTCCAGCAGGTACTGCCTGCCACGGTAGTTGGGCAGCTCGTAGAAAATCCAGGCCCCGTCAAGCACCTTACAGGAGTGGATCTCTCGCATGTGAAATTGCTCCATGATGGAGGGGCAATCTTCAGTGGTCTCATACATCTGACCGTTAAAATCCCCCTTCTCAAAGATCTGAATCTTATACTGGCCTCCGCTAGACTAGAAACAAAAACCAGGCAGACACAAACAGCAACCATTACGGAAGTCACCGGCGGCTCCAGAGCTGGGAGCCGTGTGCTTCAGAACTTCCAAGCCCGAAAGCTCCAGGAGCTGAACCCCACCCCCACTTCCCACTGCAACAAAGCCAAGTGTGAGTCCTCATAATCCCCAGAGAGGAAAGAAAGCCCCGCCCAAGCAACGAGTGCATTCGGTCTTGCAGAGATCTGACCTAACATTGTATTCAGCAGCTGCCAAAAGCCAGCCAGCCAGCAAGAGGAAGGAAAAGTTGGACGTAAAGGCAAAGAGAGCGAGCGTGCGCGCCCCCGCCAGCCCATGCGCGCCGCTCCCCCACCCCCGCCTCACCAGGTGGAGCGCTCTGCAGGAGCTGAGGCGGTCGTTGAGGCCCATCCAGCGCTGGTACTCCGGGTAGTCCCCCTGAGGTAAGATGTACATGTACCCGGCAAAGTCGGGCCTCTCGTACACAGCCCAGGTGCCTCCCTCCACCCTGATGGAGTTGCAGCGGCTCAGGTACGTGTGGAAGTCCGAACAGTCGCAATCGCAGTCATAACGGCGGCCCTGAAAATTCTTGTCTTCGTAGAAGGTAATCTGGAATACAGGACAAACAGAACTGAGTGGGGGTGCCTTTAGCCACAGATGAAACAAATGTTCGGAGCATACGGCCAGTTGTAGAAATTCCTTTCACCTCGGTTCTGAGAGAATGCGTGAGCCGACCTGGCCTCGTGTTTGCGTTCTCGCAGGCAACTTCACTTGTTAACAGTAGGAATGAAGGTTCAACATGAAGCAAAACACGTGAGTGCTTTCATACACACCAGCAGTTTATTGTCAAGTTCTCGGCTTCTTCCTGGATGGTCCCACAGCCCTCTGTACTTAGCACGTTACATTATAAACAACACATGTATGTATCTATCCCTCCCGTCAGACCTGTACCAGGCTTCTTCCAAGGGAGGCACCACGTCTAATTCAACATGGATCTGCTGTGCCCAGCACTTGACAGACTCTCAACAAGTGCTTGATGCAAATGAGCTCCAAATGCAGAAATCCATGCCAGGTAATATGGAAGATATAACAGAGAAAAAATAAAATTGATTTTCGCTTCGGAGAGCTTATTTCAGACGGATACTATACAGAGCACACCCAAAGGAGCAACCTCCTATGACTGTATTATTAATGTATGGCCAGCAGAGTAGCTGTGAAGTAGCAGGATAACAAGGCAAGAAGTGTCTGGCTTCAAGCTCTTAGCAAGTTTCTACCACAATGCCTAGGGGGAGCCTCCGAAGGCAGCCATGGGAAATAATAAACCAGAAATAATAATCCTGGACTCCTGAGCTACAGCCTCACAATCACCACCACCGCCTTAATTAACTCACCGGTCTGGGTGTCAGCTTCCGGTTTGCCAAATGCAAGGACTAGAGGGCAACCTGGAAGTCCTGACCGTAAAGCAAAACTCAGGAGCTTTTCTGGTTGAAATGGAAGATAGAACTCCCAGGACTCCTAGGCATACCCAAAGCAACTTCTAAAAACCACCGAAAAAGCCACAAATGCACTACAAAGTTTGTCCCTTCTTGCTCAATAGTTCCACAATCTAAGATCAATTCTAAATTATACTTTGAAGCAAAACCACAAGTGTCACAGGCTGCAGAGGACCAATTTCCTGGCACTATGCCGCCACCTTGTGGCTGATTTGCTTTATTGCTTTAAAAGAAACAAAAAACGGTGTGAGAGCCAGGTAATCAGCAGGTGTTTTACAGAGGCAAAGAAAACGGGACGAGCATGTTCAAAGAAAGGAGTAAAAGAAAGTGGCCCCTTGTAAGGACAGTAAGTAGTTCACCAAGCTTGCATTTGACTAAGGAATGAAGACGGGAAATAAAGCCAGAAAAGTGAATCAGGAGCCATGCTCGAATTTCTTCAGTGATTACGTGGGAGTGGTACTTACTGGCTATATGACTGTGGACATTTAGCCTTCCCTAAGGCTTCTACCTGCAAACTGGGATACCAGTATCCACGGTGGCAGTATGGCCTGAGGATCCAATGGGATAACGTCCATAAAGCACTCAGTTTAATGAATGACTTGTAATTGCCAGTAAGCTTTTGCTACACTTGTTTCAGGTGAAGTGAAGTGACTTGCCTAAAGTTCCCAGCACTTGCAGGTAAGTCAGTGGACTGCAGTGCAAAACTCCTGCCTAGGGGTCTGTGGCTGCCTTCCAGTCTGCACGGCTAGCTCCGCTTAACACGGCATTTACCCTGGTACACACTGAGGCCCAGGGCCTTCTCCCACAGCCTGTGGAGAGGGCTTTAGAAAAATCAAGTAACTTCTCTAAGAACAGATGGATTTGGGGCAGGGCAGCGCTGTGGCGGAGTAGGTTAACGCCCTGGCCTGAGGCGCCAGCATCCCATATGGGTGCCGGTTCTAGTCCTGGCTGCTCCACTTCCAATCAGCTCTCTGCTATGGCCTGGGAAAGCAGTAGAAGATGGCCCAAGTGCTTGGGCCCCTGCACCCACGTGGGAGACCCAGAGGAAGCTCCTGGCTCCTGGCATCGGATCGGCACAGCTCCGGCGGCCATCTGGGGAGTGAACCAGTGGATGGAAGACTCTCTCTCTCTCTCTCTCTCTGCCTCTCCTCTCTCTGTGTAACTCTGACTTTCAAATAAAATAAATAAATCTTTAAAAAAAAACAGATTTGAAATTCTGTAGTCCATATACTTAATTTGCCTTTGGTTTCTGACAAACTGTTCATGCAAACAGAAGCTTGGCCAAGGATGCTCAATGAGGAGTGAGATCAATATCACGCTTCACTTCCTTGTTTCTCACCTTCACTGCCCTCTGCACATTTGCCGGACTGAGATCAATATCCGAGAAGTGGAAATACACACAGCACTCTACAAGGTCACCACCTATTCACCCCCTCACTCCCGCCCCCGCCCCTGATGGACCAGCAACCACCCCAAGATTGAATCCAGTCATGCATCATGTTGCTCTGGGATCCAGGACTAAGCTCCCCTTCCAATTCTCAGAGCCAGACCATGTTGCACCTAGATATAATGGATTTCTGAGGAACCACCATGAAATGAAGCCTACTCTATCATCAGCTGAGAAAATTTGACCTCTGGAACCTCCCCCCCGCCCCAAAATCTCAGAGAAAGCTAAGAAATATGTAGGTTTTCCTAGAAATTATTACAGAATTCCCAACATTTTCAAACTTTTTAAAAATGGCCTACAAATCCAAAAACAACAGAAAGAAAACTGACTTGAGTGTCCCTGAAGTAACAAAAATATGCTTAGTGAAATCCATTCCTTTCACCAAGCTCTGATTAAACTGCTAGCAAGGTAATGGAAAGAGAGAAGCAACAAGAAGTCATTGACTGTGTCCCTCGGCCTATCTAACAGGCTATTTAACTAGATAAGCAGCCCAGCTCCGGGAACTAACGGAAATACACTGTTCCCACTCCGGAGAGCTTTGCAAGCAGGTCATGTCAGCATCTGCCCGGCCGGGCGGGTGGTTATGCACAGCTTTCCTCCAGGCGTGGGGAGGTTCCTCAAAGGACACCAAATGCTTCAGTGGGATGTGCACGACAGATTTTCCAGAACCTCAGAGCACTAGACACTGCTTCTCTCTCCAAACCTTCCAGACGACAAGGATGGTGATCAGTTCTACTTTCCATGTGGAAAAAAAAAATCACACATTACCCAATTACATTATGTATTACTAGGTACTTCTCAGCACAATGCCTTGGGAAGTAGACAACTCGGCCTGTGTGGATTTTTGTCAAAGGTGTTTGGTGTGAATCTAAACACAAGGAAGGAATCGGACAAGTGTAGATGCAGCGCTTGCTACAAGACACCTGGTCCAGACTTTGAAAAACGTCAGTGTCTCAAAAACAACAGAAAGTGAGAGGTGGGGGATCATTACGGATTTAAAAGGCTAAAGAGACAAGACAACAAAATGCAATGTGTGATCTTTGATTGGCTCCCATCAAGAGAAAAGCTGGCCAGCTCTAAGGATACTTCTGAGAACAACTGGAAAATGTGCATAAAGTCTGAATATGGCATGTATTTATGATAAATCTTAGGTGATCATGATACCATGTTTACATTTAGGGGAATTCCTAGTTTTTAGGAGCTACATGCCCAAATGCTTAAAACAGAAGTATAATAAGTATGCTATTTTTTTCAAAAGCTGTAGTGAAGAGCCAGAGAGACCAAATATGGCAAAATATTAACCACTGGAATATATATGTGAAGCATATACAAGTATTCATTCCATATTTTCGTTTTTATTCTCTCAAGAGTTGATGGATTGGAAAATTTCTAATTTGTTGCCTTAGGCTCACTGGAGAATGGAAGAGCTAGAAACAGAATAAAAGGTCTATTCCCTCATTCCCAAAGCCCTGCGACGTCAATTTCCAGCCCAGCAATTATGAGTCCAGTATTTCAGAGGCAGTTTCCCTAACGTGAACGAGGACTCTGGGGAAAGGGTAAGAATCACCGTCGGAAGGAGGACCAGGGATGTCATTCACCTGATTTGCCTGTCCTGCGTGGTCTATAAGAACACTAATGGTTGAGCCCAATTTCAGAAACAGTTAACCGACTACTGAAAGTTTTCTACTCCACATACTCCTTATCAGCATGTTCCATTCCTGTGGAGATTCAGGGAATAACAGTGGCTGGAAGGCAGAAATCATCATGCTATTTACACATCATCTGTATAGTATTCCACATAGCACCATATGTAAATCCTCAGTAAAGTCTTTGAAAATTCTATTAAAGTAGTAAATATAATAAACATGTCATTTTCTCTTTACCCTGGTCTCGGATCACTATCATACTCACCTCTGGGCAATGAAGCAAAAGCTTTTCTCCTCACTTCTGTCAACATACCATTAGGTGAAAAGTGGGTAGGCTGAAAGTCAGTATGACTATTTACTTACCTTTGTTCCAGTTTTAGACATTTTCAGTTCATAGGTTGGTTTCCCCAGTGCTGAGAAATCCAGGGGTAGCTACAGGGAGTCAGAGGCACACACACATTTATAGTGGGCTGGTTTCAAACCAAACATTTGCTTAGTCATGAGAATTGGATCCAAAAATTGAGTCAGTCATTTGGAGGCTATTGATGGTTTCTAGAAAAACAATTGGGATTATGAAATAAAGCAAAGCTTCACTACCCCCTTTAATGCTTACCAAGCCCTGTTGCACTATAAGCTTTGCTGAGTCAAGATACCAAATCCCAGCCAAAGTTTGGAAAATTAAAAACAAGTTCTCTCTTCCCTGGGCAATTTTTTTTTTTTCGCAAGTGGCCTCTTTGAAATGTCTAGCATATTTTTTTTCTTAAGCAAAGCTATAAGCTTTAGTAAGTCAAAAGACTACCGACTACCCTCTACCTACTTCTGGACAAAAGTAAAATGTTCCAAAGGCAAGAACACTTTGACAACAAAAGGTAATGCATGATCTTATGTTTGGGGTACAAATCACTATAATGGACTTTTTTGGGACAATTAGAAAAAAATTTTAGGGGCAAGCGTTAGGCATACTCGTTACATTGTTTGGGATGCCAGCATCCCGTAGTGGAGTGCCTGACTTCAAGACCTGGCTGCACTCCTGCATCCACTTTTCTGCCAGCGTACACCTGGGAAGGCAGTAGGTGATAGCTCAAATAGTTAGGTGCACTGTGACCCATGTGAGTTCCTGGCTTCAGCCTGGCCCAGCCCTAGCTTTTGTGGGCATAAAGGGAATCAACCGGCAGATGGATCTGTCTCTCTGCCTTTCAAGTAAACTTTAAAAAAAAAATGTAATATGGTCTATATAGAATGTTATCATACCTATGTTTAATTTCCTGAATTTGATCATCTTGGTATGACTAGGTAAAAGACTATCTTTGATTTTAGGAGATACATGTTAACATATTTAGGGTAAAGATCCAAAATGTCTGAGACTTACTCTCAAATTGTTCAACAAAAGTAAAATACCATATAGAGGGGGAAGCTTCGTGGTGCAGTAGGTCAGACTACCACTTGTGATGCCAGCATCCCATATCAGAGTGCTGGTTTGAGTCCTGGCTTCTCTGCTTCCAATTAAGCTTCCTGCTAATGTGTCTGGGAAGGCAGTGGATGGTGGCCCAAGTGCTTGGACTTCTGCCACCCATGTGGGAGACCTGGATGGAGTTCCTGGCTCCTGACTTTGACCTGGCCCAGTCCTGGTTGCTGCTGCCATTTGGAGATTAAACTAGCAGATGGAAGATCTTTCAATCATATTTAAAAAAAAAAAAAAAAAAAAAACTAGAGAAGAGTGGTAAAGTATGGCAAAATGTTAACAACTGGTAAATCTACACAAAGGGTATGTGGAAGTTCACTGACCTATTCTTTTTTTTTTTTTAAAGATTTATTTATTTATTCAAAAGGCAGAGTTAGAGAGACAGGAGAGAGATAAAGAGATCTTCCATCTTCATTTCCCAAATGGCCACATGGCTGGAGCTGAGCTGATCCAAAGCCAGGATCCAAGAGCTTCTTCTGGGTCTCCCACATGGGTGCAGGGGCCCAGGGACTTGGGTCATCTTCTGTTTTCCCAGGCCATAGCAGAGAGCTGATTGGAAGTGGAGCAGCCAGGACTCAAACCAGCTGGGAGCCAGCACTGCAGGCAGTGGCTATACCAGCTACACCACAGCGCCAGTCCCAACTGACCTATTCTTACAACTGTTCTTTCACAACACAAATTTAAAAAAAAAGAGAGAGAGAGAGAGAAAGAACTCAAATCCACAAGGTTACCACAGTATGTAGAAAGACAGAGTACTAAAGAACTCCTGAATTTGCAAAGGGTTAGCTAAGCACAACTTGCTTCCTATTTGGTATTCTTTCCTGCCCTTGATATCATATTGACTCCTGTTCAAAGAACATCTTTTAGACCTTGATACATGTATATCTCTGGGAATGAGATTACATCTGATGTAAACTCAAAGAAACAACAAATCAACTTTTCTCTACTTTAATTTTCCTGGTCAAGTATATTCTATTCAAAGGTATCTTCCTCATGTTTTTATTAACAAAAACTATACAACAAATATATTTACAAATGGGAGATCTGTAAGATGTATTATAAGCCGGCGCCGCGGCTCACTAGGCTAATCCTCCGCCTGCGGCACCGGCACACCAGGTTCTAGTCCCGGTCAGGGCACCGGATTCTGTCCCGGTTGCCCCTCTTCCAGGCCAGTTCTCTGCTGTGGCCAGGGAGTGCAGTGGAGGATGGCCCAAGTGCTTGGGTCCTGCACCCCATGGGAGACCAGGAGAAGCACCTGGCTCCTGGCTTCAGATCAGCGCAATGCACCGGCCGCAGCGCGCCGGCCGCGGTGGCCATTGGAGGGTGAACCAACGGCAAAAAGGAAGACCTTTCTCTCTGTCTCTCTCTCTCTTTCTCACTATCCACTCTGTCAAAAAAAAAAAAAAAAAAGAAAAAAAAGATTATAGTCAATTCAAAACTTGGCAAATATGCCTAGATATGAGGATTCCTAAGAAACAAAACACCTATTTAGTTTTCTGAATTTCTATTAAAAAAAAGCATCTGGTTAATATAATAAATTTCATTAACATGTAACAATTTCCAAAACACACATAGCATTCCAGTGTTTATTTGGTAATTCTGATTGCTTGAATTTCATCTGAAAATAAAAACTAAAAATTTCAGTTAGAATTAACAAATATTCTGAAGAATAATTTTCACTTTAGAAACAGCAGCCCTTTTTTGATATAATTACTAATTAAATGTCCAAGTATACGAATCAATGTTGTTCAACAATCAGATTTCATTTCATTAACTTGATCATATTTCCTTTATCTGAAAGAACAGGCTTACCCAATCAAACGTAAAATTTACTTCATATAATGTCACAGAATGACACTGAAAAGTTTTGAGAATTAACAATCTTTTTTATTAAAAGGAGCAAACTACTTTTTCAAGTTTATTAAAAATTTGAAACAGGAAATACAAAATAAAGACCTTACACAATTCCATTAAGTTTCATACTTTAAGATTAAAATATCTTTGTATAAAACTATCTCTGCTATTTTCAAATACCAACAAATCATACTTTCATTCTAAGTATTTTTTCAGAGTAGTAATTTCCTTTTAAGTAGTTACAAAGAACTAAAAAACCCTTTTTGACTCCAGAAAGGAAGAAATCCTTTCATAATACAAATTAAAATATAAATACACTTGTAAACCTATAGTTACATTAATATTAACATATATACTATGGGGCTGCCTTCATCAACTTTATCAGTTTAGCATCACAAAGATGAGTGTTCTGATGTTCTGTAAGCAATATGTTCACTAGAAAGTCAGAAACTGAGCTAAAATTCAACCTGAACAGTAACAACTGAGTAGGGAATGGCAATAAGGAAACGACTGAAACAGAAAACACCCTTGAAGTCTCCTGAGCAGGAAGAGCATCTTCCCCATTTAGTTCTCAGATGAGAACACCGTCCTCCATTCATCCTCTGCTTTTAGGGCCCTGAAGATAAAAAAAGAAAAAAGAAAAATGAATATTAATCACTTTGTTTTGTCTTCATAGAAGTAATAAGGAAAAAAAACTTATGTTTACAAATCACATAAACTATCAAAGTCAGGTAATAGTTTAGAATGATAACATACAGAAAGTTTAAAGTTAACTTTCTCTTCTTTTTAAGATTTGTTTACTTATTTCAAGGTCAGAGTTACAGAGAGAGAGAGGGAGGGAGGGAGAGAGAGAGACAGAGAGACAGCTTCCTTCTGCAGGTTCATTCTCCAAATGGCGCAACTGCCAGAGCTGGGCAGGTCCAATGCCAGGAGCCAGGAGTCTCTTCTAGGTCTCCCACGTGGGTATAGGAGTCCAAGGAGTTGGGCCACCTTCTGCTGCTTTCCCAGGTGCATTAGTAGGGAGCTGGATCAGAAGTAGCAGCTTGGATGTGAATTGGTGTCCATATGGGATACTGGTGCTGCAGGCAGTGGCTTTAACTTGCTATGTCACAGTGCTGACCCAATATACTTCTCTTTTCTAAGTGTCACATTAATTGGCAAGCTAGGAGAATTAAACTAAAATGTCTTAAAATTACAGTTTTCAGATTTGTAATTTTTTAAGTTTTGTGAAGACACAGCTTTAACATTTTATACATATTTGTTTATGTGAAAGGCAGAGTCAGTCAGACAGACAGAGAGCTCCCATGTGCTGATTCACTCCACAGATGTCCTCAACAGCCAGGGCCGAGCCAGGGGCTGGGAGGCAGGAACCTAATTACTTAAGCCATCACATGCTGCCTCCCAAGATGCACATCAGCAGGAACTGGGTTGGGGGCTAGAGCTGGCACTGAAATCCAGGCACTCTGATGTGGGAGGTGGGGATGTGGGCATGGGGTGTATTAATTTCACTCCAGGCTCTTGTCTCGCACCAAGTCAGGCATTCTAAGTACAGACAAATGTAAGTTACAAAAACTGAGAACAAATTTTATTTAAAAGGTGAGAAAGTGAGCACACCTATACATGCGAGCATGGGGTGCCCCCCACAGAGAAGTACCCATCGTGAATGGGCAGTGGTCCAGACGGCCTAAAATGAGGAGGGGTGGAGAGGGAAGAGAAAGCAGTGATCTGCTGCAGAAGAGACAGCCTCCTCCCAGTAGCTGGCCACTTCTGTGAAGGGGGGTGGTGCCCGTACAAGCATGAAGCCACCTGGGAGTCACGTGGCACATCCGCAAGTCCCATGTGGAGCTAAATATCCATTTGTTCATGGGGTCCCCCTTAGGATCCGAATGAATCAGATGCATCTCGGGAAAGGGGGCATTTTGACTGAGAAGTAGCAGGACAGAACTGCATATGAGGCTTGCAGCAACTTCCGGCTCAGCAGACCTACACTGCCTACCTGCCTATCCCACAGGTATCGCAGGTGGTATCCTAACTGCTGTGCCAAATGCCTGCCACGGATCTGCAATTCTTAATTCGATTCTTAGTTCTTATACCAACTAGACATTGAAATGCTTTTTTTTTTTTTTAATAAAGACACACTTTAAAAATAAACAATATATAAACAACAAGAATGTCTTTTTGAGACTTTGGAAAACTGAAGCTCCTTAAAATGTTAAACATGTGTCCCTACAGTTCTATCCCTAGGTATATACCCGTGAGAAATGCACATATATGTCTATACAAAGCTATGTGCACAGGGACTGGTATTGTGGCACATTAGGTTAAGCCACCGCTTGCGAGGCCAGCATCCCCTATCAGAGCGCCAGTTTGAATCTCAGCTGCCTGACATCCAAACCAGCTCCTGGGTGCCTGAGAAGGCAGTGGAAGATGGCCAGGTGCTTGGGCCGCTGCCATTGGCTGGAGTTCCGGGCTCCTGGCTGCAGCCTGGTCCAGCCGTGATGTTGCAGGCATTTTGGAGTTAACCAGTTAATGAAGTTCTCTCTGCCCATCAAATACATAAAATGTTTAAAAATAAGTAAAAGCCTGTACACAAATGTACAAAGCAGCATTATTCATAATAGCTGAAAAATAGAAACAATCCAAATGTCTGTCAGTTGATGAACAGGTAAACCAAGTGGTAGATCCATATAATGGAGTATTATCCAGCCATGAAAAAGAATGAAGTCCTGACACAAGCTACAACATGGATGGATGAACATTGAAAACATGCTAAATGAAATAAACTAGTCATAAAACACGATGCTGGAGGATGCATTCCATTTACATGAAATATCTATATTGGGAGTTTTAGAACGGGGATGGCCTTTATTTTGGGGGTAATAAAAATATTCTGGATTCATTAATGGCAAAGATTATATACACAAACTTGTGAGTTACTAAGAACCACTAAATCCTTTCCCTTCAAAGGCAAATTTTAGGGGGCAGGAGCTGTGGCATAGCGGGTAAAGCTGCTGCCTGCAGTCCTGCCATCTCATATAGGTGCCAGTTTGCGTCCCGACTGCACTACTTCCGATCCAGCTCTCTGCTATGGCCTGGGCAGAAGGTGGTCCAAGTCCTTAGGCCCTTGCACTCGTGTGGGAGACCTGGAAGAAGCTCCTGGCTCCTGGCTTTGGATCAGCCTAGCTCTGGCTGTTGTGGCTATTTGGGAAGTGAACTAGTGGATGGAAGACCTCTGTCTCTCTCTTTGCCTCTGCCTCTCTGCAACTCTGCCTTTCAAATAAATACATAAATAAATCTTTTCTTTTTAAAAAGGTAAATTTTATATTATGTGAATATCTAAAAAAAAAAAAAGAAGTACATTTTCTTCCACCCTACATACCCAATCTCATTCCTCAAAGACAAATTCCATTTACAAATTCTTTATATCCTTTGAGAAATGTTTAGGCACATAATCGGCACATAAATGTCTATGATGATCCCTATTTTTTCTTTTTTTTTTTTTGACAGGCAGAGTGGACAGTGAGAGAGAGAGAAAGAAAGGTCTTCCTTAGCCGTTGGTTCACCCTCCAATGGCCGCTGAGGCCGGCGCACCGCGCTGATCCGATGGCAGGAGCCAGGTGCTTCTCCTGGTCTCCCATGGGGTGCAGGGCCCAAGCACTTGGGCCATCCTCCACTGCACTCCCTGGCCACAGCAGAGAGCTGGCCTGGAAGAGGGGCAACCGGGACAGAATCCAGCGCCCCGACCGGGACTAGAACCCGGTGTGCCGGCGCCGCTAGGTGGAGGGTTAGCTTATTGAGCCGCGGCGCCGGCCAATCCCTATTTTTTCAAAACATAGGCAACATTTTAATTATTCTCCTAAGCTTAGAGATTATTCAGTATCAGCACAAACAGATACACTTTATTTTTCTTAAAGGTACATTCTGTGACACAGACGAAATCAGTTCATCAGGCACCAAGCCTGTAGGGAGGAGCATCCGGCTTGTTTTCAGTCTACAGATATTTTAAAAGATGCTACAATGGGCCAGCACCGCGGCTCACTAGGCTAATCCTCCACCTTGCGGTGCTGGCACACCAGGTTCTAGTCCCGGTTGGGGCGCTGGATTCTGTCCCGGTTGCCCCTCTTCCAGGCCAGCTCTCTGCTGTGGCCAGGGAGTGCAGTGGAGGATGGCCCAAGTGCTTGGGCCCTGCACCCCATGGGAAACCAGGAGAAGCACCTGGCTCCTGCCATCGGATCAGTGCAGTGCGCCAGCCGCAGTGCACCAACCGCGGCGGCCACTGGAGGGTGAACCAATGGCAAAGGAAGACCTTTCTCTCTGTCTCTCTCTCACTGTCCACTCTGCCTGTCAAAAAAAAAAAAAAGATGCTACAATGAACAATGTTTAAAAATAGATCTTCACAGGTTATAAAATTCCAGTTAGATAGGAGGAATAAGTTTAAGAGACCTACTGTAGAAAAGGTGACTATAGTTAATAACAGTATGCTGTATTCTTGAAAAATGCTGAGTAGATGTTCTCACCATTCAAAATGACCATTAAAAATTCTCACCATTAAAATGACAATTATTTATGGTAATACATATGTTAATTAGCCTGACTTGGGCATTCTACAGTGTGTATATATTACAAAACATCACATTGTACAGAATAAAGGTACAATTTTATCTATCAATTCAAAAAATTATAAATTAAGCAGACCTTTATATTCATAAGTATATCTATAAAATAAATTTTAAGAAGTAAAACTGCTAAGTCAAAGAGTATTGGTATTTTTAATTTTGATTTTGTCAAACTGGCCCCTAAAGAGGTAACGTACATTTAAACTTCCCCCAGTGGATGAAATGTCTTGCAAGTGTGTGTACCACCAGTTTTTGATCCCTGCCAATCAAAAAACAGTAACTTTAATTTTAAAATTAAGTATTTATGTCCATATTTCTCTATGATCTACTACCTATTCATTTCCTTTGTTTTTATTTTAATTAATTTTTAAATGGACTTTATTTATTTGAAAGGCAGAGCGAGAGAGAGAGAGAGAGATGGAAAGACACTGAGAGAGATCTTCCATCTACTGGTTCACTCCCAAATGACTGCAACAGCCAGGTTTGGCCAGGCTGAAGCAAGGATTCAGGAAATCCATTCTGGTCTCTTATTTAGGTGGCAGGGATCCAAGCACTTGGGCCATCCTAGGCTGCCCTCCCAGACACATTAGCAGGGAGCTGGATTGGAAACAGAGTAGCCAGGATTCAGACTGGCACTCAGATATGGGATGCAGGCCTTGCAAGCAGAGGCAACCTGCTGGGTCACAAAGTCAGCCCTATGTCCTTTGTTTTTCAATTGTTAGTCTTTAAAAATACTTTACAACAGCAAAGTAAGTAGTTTCTATTTTTAAAAAGACTACCACGGAGCTGGTGCTGTGGCTTAACGGATAAAACTGCTGCCTACAGCGCTGGCTTCCCATGTGGGAGCTGGTTCGAGTCCCGGCTGCTCCACTTCCAATCTAGCTCTCTGCTGTGGCCTGGGAAAGCAGTAGAAGATGGCCCAAGTCCTTGGGCCCTTGCACCCACGTGGGAGACCTGGAGGAAGCTCCTGGATCCTGGCTTCAGATTGGCACAGCTCTGGCTGTTGCGGCCAGTTGGGGAGTGAATCAGTGGATGGAAGACACCTCTCTCTCTCTCTCTCTCTCTGCCTCTCCTTCTCTGTGTTACTCTTTCAAATAAATAAATAAATCTTTAAAAAAAATGAATATCACATATTTGGATAAAACTTAAGTAAATGTCTGTTTCTGTGTTCTCATCTGTTTAATACATGGCCTTCTAGTTGAAGTAGCACCTTGACAGTAGGGACTCCATTTTGGAGAACCTGAGACTCCATTCTGGGAAGGCACCCCTCCCCCACACTGTGAGACTCTGGTCTGAAATTATGATCTAAAACAGTTGGACAATAGCAGTCCACTACGTCACATCTGGCAGAGCATAGAAACCCCCAGCATGATCGCTCAAGCTTGGAAGTGGATAGGCTGCACCTGGGTTAATGATAAAAATGTAATTTGTCTATGTCCTACATATGATTAAAACCAATACCTGGATTAATGTCAAGATTATAATTGGAATTGTTAAGATTGTAACTGGTATTGTCAAGATTATAATTGATACAAGTTTTGCATAGGTTTTAGGTCAGCTTGACCCCAGTAACCATGTATTCCCCCCTGTTCCTAGCAACCATGAATTCCCCTCCCGATTTTGTGGTTTTTGCCTTTATAAACCCTGTTGCTTTGGGCTTCAGGGTCGAGAGTTCTTTAGGGCATAAGCCCACTCTCCACCACTGGCAATAAAGGACCATCAAATGTTATCAATGTGTGGAGCTCCTTTGTCTGCACTCGCTCAGACACAGCATAGTCTTGATTAATTTAATCAATTCTAGTGTATTGCACTTACATGTGCAATTAACAAAGATCAGCAAATTCACTAACTGTTCCGGGGCAGCTGGGAAAGAAGAAAGATATATTACAGAGGGGGAATAAAATGTAAAGCTATATGAGGGGGAAAGTAGTATCTTTAGACAGTACAACTTACGTCAAGCACAAAAGCTAACACTCTGGGGCTGGCACTGTGGTGTAGGTAAGGCTCTGCCTGCAGCATCGGCATCTCATATGAGTCCCGGCTGCTCCACTTCCAATCCAGCTCCCTGCTAATGACCTGGGAAAGCAGTGGAACATGGCCCAAGTACTTGTTCCCCTGCACTCACGTGGTAGGCCCAGGGGAAGTACCTGGCTGCTGGCTTCGCCCAGCTCCTCAGTTGCGGTCATTTGGGGAGTGAACCAGCAGATGGAAGACCTGTCTCATCTCTGTTTCTCCTTCTCAGTCTGTAACTCTGCCTCTCAAAGAAATAAATAAATCTTAAAAAAAGTAACACTTCATATTCATATTTGCTCAAAATTCTATAAACTCTGCCTGAATATTCTTGTTGGTTTCACTATAATATGGTAAATATGAGTATTTAATAATCTGTGTACCCTGACTGGAGTGGTAGAAAGAAATCTAACAATGGTTGGTAACATAATATCCTGTGCACTGGTGTGTACAGGCTTGGAAGGATTCCCCCGAAGAATCTGGCTGAAGTGGCTACATTAGAAATGCTTACCTTGTTTTGACATAGGAGTCCTATCCTGCAGCTTGTTTGGAGGCTACTGTAGGGGGCACAAGGCTGTCCAGCTGTTGGCGATGTCCCGTATTAATCAACCATTCATAAAACTTGTTCTCCACAAGAACCTGGAACTGCTTCCTTTGATCCCTAAAATTTCAATGTAGAGCAAAAAGAATATAAAAACACTAATTCAAATAAATTTTACTCCAAGTGACTACTCGATGCTTTAATGAGACAATGTTAAATAATTATTTTCTAGTTATCTTTGTTCTTGCTGTGCTCAGAATACATTGGACTAACACACACACACAAAGAAAATATATGGTCAGATACAATGCCTACTTTATAAACTGACTGACTGTCATATATGCACTCAGGACCAAGTGAGTGCTGGTTGTTCTGACAGGACAAATGTGTCAAGAAAAGAAATAAGGCTCCTATTCAAGCAGGTTGATACTACATACCTGCATAGGGCACCATTCACACTGTGGACCAGATATTTCGGTAGAGAAAAATGACAAGTAAAATAAACAAAAGATACAAAATAAAGTAGCTGTAAGTGCCTTGGAGAACAACAGAGCAGGGTAAGGGAATGGGGGAATATCTGGATGCTATTTTGGCCAAAGAATGGACAAAAACTTCTCTAAGAAGACGGGTGAGCAGAGGTGTATGACTGAAGAGATGAAGAAGTTAAACGATTATCTGACAAGGATTACTAGCAGAACAAAAATTACAAAGGCTAAAAGGGGAGAATATAGAGGTCTTCAAAAGATGTATTATGAAAATACCTATTTCCCTTTTTTTGCACCAAAATATTTACCTTTTAATTCAGTTTCTTCATAAACTTTTTGAAGTTCCAGCATAGTTAGCAAGAGAACAAAGAAGAGTAGCTCCTGACTGCCAGGAATTAGCTTAGCACCACTAATAGGCCTTTGTAGTGAGGACGTGGCCTGGGACAATTCATTACAGCACCAACATCAGACAAGGCCATTCTGGGATGATGATACACCAAGGTAAGAACCAAACCACTCTGCAATGCCATCTCAGTCTGGACAAAGTAATTTTTGTGAGGTCCAAAGCACAAAAACAACCAGTTACCCTTTCCTGGTTAATGAGTAAGTGCTGCTTCTGTACACTTATAGCTTTAGCTCCATCAGATTCCTCCTGTCCTGAACATTATTAAGCTACTGAATCACGGAGTTACTTACTCTTGCTTCTGTGTAGCATCTGAATCCACAAAAAGCTGCTTCCTACACCCCTCCCCCAAGTCACCTAACACAAACTCAAGTCTAATTATACTCCTGAGGTTTTTTTTTATTATTATTTAAATAGCTCTCCCTGTTCCTCAACCTTTTACTAAGATGAAACAGTTCTTTCACTCCTTGGATTCAGTCAATAAAATACACCTTTGTTTTACTGATGTCATTGGCCAGAGGCAATGACTAAGTAATAGCAAGAAGAGTGTTTTATCTTGGGATGAAGTGAATGAACAAAAGAATGGATGAAAATGAGGCAGAGAGGACCTGGTAGGTATGGTAAGGGTTTTGGATGTTATCCAAGTATTATGAGAAGCTATGAAAAGGGCCAGAGCAGAGAAATGACATGGCCTAATTACTATTTTTTTAAAGATTTTATTTGAAAGTCAGAGTTACACACAGAGAAGGAGAGGCAGAGAGAGAGAGAGAGAGAGAGAGAGGTCTTCCATCCGCTGGTTCACTCCCCAACTGGCCACAAAGGCTGGAGCTGTGCTAACAGGAAGCCAGGAGCCAGGAGCTTCTTCTGAGTGTCCCACAACAGGGCAGGGGCCCAAGGACTTGGGCCACCCTCTACTGCTTTCCCAGGTCATAGCAGAGCTGGATCGGAAGTGGAGCAGCCAGGACTCGAACTGGCGCCCATATGGGATGCCAGCACTGCAGGCGGCGGCTTTATGCACTACATCACAGTGTTGGCCCCCCTAATTACTTTTTAAAGGATCACATTTGGGGCTGGTGCTGGGGCATAACAGGTAAGGCCGCTGTCTGTAGTGCCGGCATCCCAAATGGGAGCCAGTTTGAGTCCTGGCTGCTCCACTTCCGATCCAGCTCTTTACTGTGGCTTGGGAAAGCAGTAGAAGATGGCCCAAGTGCTTGGGTCCCTGCACCTGCATGGGAGCCTTGGAAGAAGCTCCTGGCTCCTGGCTTTGGAACAGTGCAGCTCCAGCCTTTGCAGCCAACTGGGGAATGAACCAACAGATGAAAGACCTCTCTCTCTCTCTGCCTCTCTTTGACTCTGCCTTTCAAATGAATAAATAAATCATATAGACAGTCCCCAACTTATAATTTTTTGACTTTTCCAGGGTATGAAAATCACACACATCCAGTAGAAACCACACCTGGAGTTGGAATTTTGATCTTTTCCTGGACTAGCAATCCACACTGTGATCCTCCTTCGTGATGTTAGACAGTGGCAGCCAGCCACAACTCCCAGGCAGCCATGCAATTGCGGGGGTAGGTGCTCTACATGGTGCTGTGTGGCTAAGCTCTGATGTTTGGGAGATCAGGTGTATTAAATGTATTTTCGACTTAATATTTTCAATTTCCGATGGGTTTATCAGAATGTGAACCCACCATGAATCAAGGAGCATCTGCATTTCCAAAGTTAAGCTGACAACTTTCATTGTTTCTAGTGTCTTCATGGATCTCACTGCTTGACAGCACTGATGCAGAGACAACATTTATTATTACTCTTTACCATATGCCACACTCTACACATGTGTGTATGCTTTTCACATGTGGAAGATGTATACATCTAAGTACAAAAACCTTTGGAACAACAGAACTGCTTTAAAATTTTTCCCAATGATCATCTATATAATATTATAATATTAATAAATTTTTGACATGATACAACAATAAAGAAATTAAGTTGAAAGAAATTAAGACACTAGATGCATTTAAGGATCAAGCTGAGCAGGTGTGACTCCTGACTCCTGTGCGACTCTGGGTAAAGTATGAGGGAACTTCAAAAAGTCTGGAAAAATGAAATTGAAAGTTTATTCTGGAATTAAAAATAAATTTATTTTGGTACAAAAATGAATTTGAAACCACCTTTTTTTGTCTTTATTGATACAGGCAGAGTAGACAGAGAGAGAGACAGAGAGAAAGGTCTTCCTTCTCTGTTGGTTCACCCCCCAATGGCCACTGCGGCCGGCAGGTGCTTCTCCTGGTCTCCCATGCAGGTACAGGCCCAAGCACTTGGGCCATCCTCCACTGCACTCCCGGGCCACAGCAGAGAGCTGGACAGGAAGAGGAGCGACCAGGACAGAATCCGGCGCCCTGACCGGGACTAGAACCTGGTGTGCCGGTGCCGCAGGCAGAGGATTAGCTTATTGAGCCGCGGCGCCGGCCTACAAAATTTTTGACGACTCCTGCATTAATCTCTCCATTCTTCACTTCTACATTTGTAACAGGGTATTGGTTTGAAGAATAAATGAGTTAGTACTAGAAGGTATTTAGCAAAGTACTTGGCACATACTAAGTGCTCTGTACCTACTACCTATTATTATCATCATTGTCCTTATGTGACATGCTGGAATGAAAATAACTAATCCATAGCAATAATGTCTTGGTAGCTCAATCCGTGAGGTTACAGACCAGGTGGAATGTTTATGACAATACTAGCAATATTACAACAATGGACTTCCAGGTAAAGCATGTATTATGACTGCTAATGATCTTTATATTTTTTTCCCAAGTAGCAACTGTTGCAAGGAATCTAAATGCTATTATTTAACCACATAATACATTTTTATTCCTTAATCTATTTGATGAAAACAAAGCTAAGAAAACACATACAGAAGATACTATGGCTAGATCAAGATATTTTTCAGTTACTATTTCTCTTAAGATGAAGTTAATCTTAACAGATCAGGTCTCAAATATTCTGGGTAAACAATCTCATCCAGAAGTCGTTTCTAAACAGGGTCTCACTCACATAACTAAACATAGTGGGGTACACACCACACACCACTAAACACACAAACGTGACTACTATGCTATCTTATTAAATCTTCACATTAATCTAATTGGATAGAAAATATACTTATACATTAACATACACCACAATGAACAGCCAGAGAGGATAAATGACATACTCAGGGTCATACAGCAAGTGGCAGGGTCAATATTAATTCCTAAATCTGAGTACTTTCCACTACAATATAGACACAGCTAGCCAAAGAATAATACTAAACCTAAAATCTAATAAAAAAAATACTTGTTGAATATTATTGTTAGTGGTGAATTAAGCCTGATTATAGAACAGATTGAAAGCGTGTCCTTGTAAAAATTAAAGAAAAAAAGAAAAGGAGGAAGGAGGGAAATTGAGGGGAGGAGATGTGAGGGAGGGAAGTATCTTCTTGGAACTGTACCTATGAAACACATGAAATCTGTTCTCTTTATAGTAATAAACATAAAAAGGATCCAATTAAAATAAATATTTTTCACTCATCATCCATCAAACAGTAGGTTTGGCTCATCAGAAATTCATCAAAGTTTGACATCTGCCAACTAAACTTAAGCTTTTTTAAAGGGAGTCTAATACTTGAGTATCCACTCGTTCCCATCCCCCAAACCAACACTGCTAAGGACACTGGGCTGATATTCAAGTCTTAACAAAAGATACATAATATCTTTTTATTATTTTAGTACAGCTACAAAAATGTGCAGATTAACTTGTTTTCCTATGGAATTTCACATAAAATACAAACTACTACTTCTAGACAACACTCACTTTGTCAAATGAGCCTCCTTCACGGTTTTCTGCCAGATTTGAATCTTCTGTTCTCTTAGGTCCAGTGCTTTTTGATATGTAGATGGAAGACCCCCAGGTATCTCTGTTGTGTCCCCTTCCATTTCAAAGGGAGTAATAAATACATAGAATTCAGAAGGTGGTAAGAGTCGGAAGACACTTGTGTCACTGTTCTCTTTGCACACGACCATTGGATTATCCCAATAGTTAGGCACTGTAGCAAGGCCAGTCCTGGCCATATGGTCCTCAAGCATCGGGTAATGGGTATGAAAGGGGGCAAATGTTACTCTCTGGTTTCCAGAGAGAATAAGTGGGCGTGTAGGCGTCAGAATGTGAAAGATGCAATCTGTTGTAGAAGAGACGGAAAGACGACGGCAAACAGCAATGACTTTAACATTGTCACAGCTGTAGAGGTGAAGAGCAGTCTCTGTAGGGCCCAAGACAAAGGTGCTATTCCTGCACTTCTCAATTGTCACAGATCTGAAAATGAAAAGATGAGGTAAATTACTCTGCATGAGAAAAAGATAAAAAAAAAAAAAAACTGACTTAAGTAATGTTCACTGGTAGCCAAAAAAGCGTTCATGCTAGCACAGACACGTCAGAGCATCACAACACTAGGAAGGCCGTGCCTACCGTAAGGGAGAAAGCAGATATATAAACGATTCATTGCAGCGGTGAATCTTCACATGTGCCCCCAGCAGAGTATCTGAGCTCTTGGCCAATGTCTGTTTGCAAACCTGGCTCATCACCACCATGCGGTGCCTCCTAGGGGCCACGTGAGTATTGCAGGCAATCTTAGCTCTTCGGGCAGTACCTTCAACTATTTAAGAAAACATGAAAATAAATGAGATCATTTCAAATTAAAGAAAAATAACCATAGAAGGTTACACATGTCTATACTTACCCATCTCTGAAAATGTGATACATGGAGAAATAAAAATGTAGGCCTAGGCTTTGGGTAAACAGATGTTTGTTATATTATTCTCTGTTCCCTTTGTTGTATATTTATAACATTTCATAATTTCTGTTACAAAATAATCTTTAAATCTATAATCCATTAAAGATTGCCTGTAGAGCTAAGAACTGTTTTCAGGGGCCGGCGCTGTGGCGCTGCAGGTTAACGCCCTGGCCTGAAGCGCCAGCATCCCATAAGGGCACTGGTTCTAGTCCCAGCAACTCCTCTTCTGATCCAGCTCTCTGCTATGGCCTGGGAAAGCAGTAGACGATGGCCCAAGTCCTTGGGCACCTGCACCCACGTGGGAGACCCAGAGGAAGCTCCTGGCTCCTGGCTTCAGATCGGTGCAGCTCTGGTCGTTGCAGCCAATTGGGGAGTGAACCATCAGATGGAAGACCTCTCTGTCTCTGCCTCTCTTCTCTCTGTGTTACTCTCTGACTTTCAAATAAATAAATAAAATATTTTAAAAAAACACAAAGAATAGTTTTCATATCTATCCCTCAAGTTATGTAATGTGTGTCTGAGGTCCTTTTGCTGGTAAGAGGCAATACTGGCCCATCTCCAAATCTTCTCCAAGATAGTTTACTTTTGTCAGTCCAACCATAATAACCTCCCCAGGTCGCCATAATATGAATTTTATACCTCCCTTGTTTACTTCCCAAATCATTCCATGAGCTCTATTTGAGTCCACATGTTTATTTCAAGGATTATTATTATCTTCCTAATACACTGTCTTACATAAACCAACATGCAAAAAAAAAAAAACATGTACAGGTTGCGCTCCAAGCCTAGTGAACCGGACCCCCTAGTGAACTGGACCCCCTAGTGAACAGTACTGGCCAAATGCAGGGAAGTCACATGAGTATGCTGTTATCTTTCTTTTAAAATAATTTTACATGTCAAGAGCCTTGGGTGATCATTGACAAAAGTGTTAATTGTTAAGTTAACAACAGGAGTCACTGTGCACTAACTTCCCATGCAAGACTTCTGTCCTCAAAGAGTTGTATTATGAGAGTTAACAGTAAAACTTATTCTCAAGGATAATTTTGTTTTAGTGTATTAAGTGGAAAATATTCTTTTTTTTAAGATTTATTTATTTATTTGAAAATCAGAGTTACAGAGAGAGAGAAGGAGAGGCAGAGTGAGAAAGGTCTTCCATCCACTGGTTCACTCCCCAGTTGGCTGGAGCTGTGCTGATCCAAAGCCAGGAGGCAGGAGATTCCTCTGGGTCTCCCAACGTGGGTACAGGAGCCCAAGGACTTGGGTCATCTTCTACTGCTTTCCCAGGCCATAGCAGAGAGCTGGATCGGAAGTGGAGCAGCTGGGACTTGAACCAGCACCCATATGGGATGCCGGCACTGCAGGCGGCAGCTTTACCTGCTATGCTACAGCACTAGCCCCGAGGATACTCTTATGTCTCATAAGTTTTACTTATGCCTAAGTGTCCAACTCCATTCTTTGTTTTCTTAGGTGCTTCCTTAATTAATAAAACTTGTTCTCAAGGACTAACTTTCTTTTAATATATTAAATGGAGGATATTCTTATGTCTCATAAGTTATAGTTATGTCTAAGTGCTCACATGGATGTATCATTCTTGGGTGCTTCTTAAAGTTAATTAATTTTCTCAAAAAAGAAAAAAAAAAAAAAAGGGAAGTGAAATTAACTCTGAGATGCAATGACTATGAACACCCCTTGTCTCAACTGTTGAGGAACAGTTCTTCTTTTCTTCCGTGCAAACTGTTGAACTCAACTCAGTATAGAGTTGGTCTTCTGTGTATAAAGTTAATTAAAAATGGATCTTAGAGGAGAATGGGACTGGGAATGGGAGAGTGAGGAGGAGGAGGAGTGGAAGTGTGGGTAGGAGGGCATGTATGGTGGAGAAATCATTATATTCCTAATGTTGTACTTATAAAATGAATGAAGTTTGTATTCCTTAAATAAAAGGTCCCTTTCGGGAAAAAAATTTTAAAAAAGAAAATAAAAAAATCATTTTGAGGCCAGCACTGTGGCATAAGGGGTAAAGCTACCACCTGCAGTGCTGGCATCCCATATGGACACCAGTTCAAGCCCCGGCTGCTCCACTTTCGATCCAGCTCTCTGCTATGGCCTGGGAAAGCAGTGGAAGATGGCCCAAGTGCTTGGGCCCCTACACCCACGTGGGAGACCCATGTCCTTGGCCCCTGCACCCATGTGGGTAACCCAGAAGAAGCTCCTGGCTCCTGGCTTTGTATTGGCGTGGCTCCGGCCATTTGGGAGAGAGATCCAGCAGATGGAAGACCTCTCTCTCTCTCTCTCTGCCTCTCCTTCTCTCTCTGTGTAACTCTTTCAAATAAATAAATAAATATTAAAAATAATTTTAAAATATTGTTTTCTTTTAAAATGATTTCTATAAGTTTATTTTATATAAACTTACATAAAATATATATAAGTTACACAAATGATTATATAGTTAACACATGATTATTGTAGGAAATACCAGAAGATAAAAATCATCTGTAATCCTACTACTTATCACTGTTAACATTTTATTATAATCCTTGAGTTTGAATATCCTTTTTTTCTTTTTTCCCATTAGCACGTACCCTAAGGATGTTCAGAAACTCACTTGGACATATATTCTCTTATTAATACTAAGAATTATGTAGGGACCATTGCTGTGGTGTAGCAGGTAAAGCCACTGCCTACAGTGCCGGCATCCCATACGGACGCTGGTTCAAGTCCCTGCTGCTCCACTTCCAATCCAGCTCTCTGCTATGGCCTGGGAAAGCACTGGAAGATGGTCCAAGTCCTTGGGCCCCTGCATTCTCATGGGAGACGCGGGAGAAGCTCCTGGCTCCTGGCTTTGGATTGGCGCAGCTTTCAACTGTTATAGCCATCTAGGGAGTGAACCAGCGGATGGAAGACCTCTATCTCTCTATGCCTCTGCCTCTTGTAGCTCTTTCAACTAAATAAATGGTTTTTTTTTTTTTAAAAAAAGAGTTATATAATCTTTCCCATATTTTATGGAGTCCATACATATCTGAAAGTCTTTGACTTTACACTAGTACAACAGTTGGCTGGATATACAATTTTTGGATTATAATCTTTTTAAGATTCTTTAGATGGTGATTCTTGGCATTATAAAATTATGACACAAAACTGATTTCCTTTACATTTATATGGAAGCTTATTTTATCTTTGAAATTCAGAGATTATAGAAATGCATTCTGGTATAGTATTTTTTTTTTCATTCATTTTGCCTGACACTTGCCTCAAGAGTGTAGGCACCAAAGAAATGTGTGCCCAGTCCTTCCTCTCTTCAAACATAACATCTGAGCTCACCTACCTAGCCACCACTGGACTCTCAGGAAAGGAACTAACAGGAAATCATGGTCAGATTCCCTCTACTGTGTATTTAAATTTCCAACTTAGAAACATCTACTCTGTGTCTATGTAGCTAACAAGACCTCATCTCCACACCAACTCTCTGAAGTTGCTACTGTGGAATAGCCAAATTCTGCTGTATTGTTTGGAAAACAAGAAATCCTCAAGTGAGTGAGTACATGGCGGTGAGAAGCAGAGAGTCAGAAAAGAGAAAAGTAAAGCAAAGACAAGACTGACTGCAGTTGGAGTTGTGTTAACTACAACCGGAAGGACCTTGACTAACAAATCAACTGTCAGGAGACTGTGGCTGCCTTGGCAGAGAAAGTCACGTAAAAGACAGATATTTTCCTCTTTTATAGCAATAGTGTTTTTAGGTTTCCTACAGAAGACATATGACCTTTAATACATCAGAAAACCCTAGGTTCCATAACTTGTCATTCAATTTACTATAAGTTAAAATATTTAAAAATACCTTGGTGAGCCCAAGCCAATTTCTTTCCAGACTTGAGGCAAGCAGATGTACCAAATGGATTTTCAGTCAAAGAGGCTCTCAACCAGGCTTCCAGCTTGTAGAAAGAAAAAGTCTTAGAGATCTTTGAGAAGCCACTTTCTGCATGCAGCGGTTGCCACAGCGCAAGTTCATGAAGTGGATAGATCTTCCTGGCTCCACTTACTGTACCTTCAATAAGAAAGCTCAGTGCCATGACACCTTCCCGAGAGACTAGACTACTATGAGTTGAATGAAACGATTCACTGAGTTGTTCTGGATCTAAAAGCAGTTCAAGGAGATCTGACAGATGGTAAGAGACAAAAGCCTGGTGACTGTAATCATTCCAATTCTAAAAAAAATCAAAAGAAAGCACTGTTAACAGATCAAAGAGATTCCAAGAGATCTAAAATCTTTACATTTTAACTATTTTGTATTTTTACTCTGCTTCATGCCCAAAATAGAATTTAGGTGGCTATATAAATCTTTTTGTGTGTTAGATAGGTATAGATTCTCTTCCCAGTTTAACTAAAAAGTAGTAAGTAATTCTTAATGTGTGTCAAGCATTGTTACACATACTTTAACATATTTAATCTTAACAAATATCCTAAATGGATGCCATTATCATTCCCACTATAAAAATTAGAAAACAAAGACATAGGAAGGTTAATAAACTTGCCACAAAGCTAGCAACTACTCTAAAAGCTTCAAAACAAACATAAAACTAACCATCGTGGACACTCATTCAATGAAGCACTAGATTTCTTAACCTACTTTCTCTAATTACAGAAGGAAGCTTAAATTCTGTGAAATGAAGCAAGTGGTCTTACAGAGACTAGATTTAAGAAAAGCATAACTTTGGGAATAACTTGGAGTTGACAGATGTTTGAGTGATTTGGCTCACCATTTGACAGCCATTTTCTGAGCACCTCTTATTGGGCATAAGCAATGTTAAGTGATGAATATGCAAACTGAGTGAGACCTGGGACCTGTCCTCAGGGAACTCAGAGTCTCTGTAGTGAGAAGACAACGCAAACAACCACAACACAAAGGGATAAGACCTGCAGTAGTGATCTGTAAAGATGTTCTATGAGCATGAGAGGAACAACTAACTCCACATGGAAAATTATGTCTGAACAGGGTTGTTGTTTTTTTTTTTTTAATATTTACCTATTCATGTACTTGATAGACAGAATGACAGAATGAGAAGCAAAGATAGAGAGAGAGGGAGAGAGAGAGAGAGAATCTTCCACCTGTCAGGTCACTACTCAAACTGCCACAACAGCCAGGGCTGTTCCAGGCTGAAGACAGAAGCCAGGAACTCCATCCAGATCTCCCACATGAGTGGTAGGGACTCATGCAGTTGAGCCATCATCTGCTCCTTCCCAGGCACGTTAGTAGAGAGATGGATCTGCAGTGGAGTGGGGGGCAGGCGTCCCAAGCAGTGACCTCATCTGCTGCACTACAACATAGTTCCTGAATAGATTCTTGACAGATGTCGGCAGTCAAGCAAACAGACAAGGAAAAGATCATCGCAGGCACAGGGAACAGCATATACTACAGTGCACAGGAACAAAAGCAGCTGCTCCGTTCAGAGAACTGCAGGTCCCAAGTGGGGTACAGGAAGTGTGCCAGGACATAGCAGCTGAAGTTAAAATGGCAAACTGAAAAACAGGGCAGAACTGGAACTGGAAAGCCATCTGGCACTGGGTTCTCTCTCAGGATCCAGGATCTCTCTGCATGTCTGTTCTGTTCTCTTCTTTTTCTCTGATGACAAGCATCTTATGCTTTTCTGATTACCTCAGTTTCTAACCCCTCATAATCCCAGGTGACTTATGAGCATAGCAGCAATTCTGGCGCTAATACCACATGAGTTTTCAGCTCAAGGATCCATCACCAACTGGTAACTTGGTTTTCCTGAGGACTGACTGCTCCACATCATTTCAGATCAGACTTCATGTAATTTCAAATACACAGCAATGAACAGGCCACTCTACTCAAGTCTCCATCCCTGATCCAATCAGTTGTTGGGAGAAATCATGCCGTAGTACAAAGCAGAGTCACCATTTACTGGTGCTTACTATGCAGTAAGTCCCCAACTTAATACAGGATTGAATTATCATGGCTATTTAAATAGTCTTCCCATTTACACAAGGTTTAGACAAGTTAACAAACTTGCCTAAAGTCATGTGATTATTAAGAGGTAGAACTCTATGTGAATGCAGGCTACCTTAGCTCAAAACACCATTTTCGGGGGCCAGCATTGTAGCGTAGCGGGTAAAGCTGCCACTTGTGATCCCAGCATCCCATACGGGCGCCAGTTCAGGTCTCAGCTGCTCTACACCCATCCAGCTCTCTGCTAATGTGTCTGGGAAAGCAGCAAAAGATGGACCAAATCCTTGGGTCCCTATACCCATGTGGGAGACCCGGCAGAAACTCCTGGTTTCGGATCAACCCAGCTCCAGCTGTTGCAGTAATTTGGAGAGTGAACCAGAAGATGGAAGATATGTGTGTCTGTCTTTCTGTAAACTATGCCTGTCAAATACAAAAATAAATCTTAAAAAAATAAAAATAAAAAACCATCATCTCCTAACAGTGCCCATTCAGCAGGAACTCTGTGTGGATAAAGTAGGTAGTGATTGACTTCTTTCATCTATCTGGACTGGAACATTCTGAATTTAAGGAATAGTTATGGGCCTCTATATGAAGGGTAAAATTAAGAGGCAAGATCTCTGGGATGGAGCCAAACTTGGGAGTCACTGAGACAGATGAAGTCACAGGAACAGAAAGAATGATACTGAATGACTACATCAAGTGAGAAGAGAAGATTGTGACAGGAAAAATCATGGGGCAACAACAGAATTTAAGGGCCAAGGAGAGAAAAACTTATGAAGAAAAGTGAGATGGGAAGCCGGCGCCGCGGCTCACTAGGCTAATCCTCCGCCTTGCGGCGCCAGCACACCGGGTTCTAGTCCCGGTCGGGGCGCCGGATTCTTTCCCGGTTGCCCCTCTTCCAGGCCAGCTCTCTGCTGTGGCCAGGGAGTGCAGTGGAGGATGGCCCAAGTGCTTGGGCCCTGCACCCCATGGGAGACCAGGAGAAGCACCTGGCTCCTGCCTTCTGATCAGCGTGGTGCGCCGGCCGCAGCGTGCCGGCCACATTGGAGGGTGAACCAACGGCAAAAAGGAAGACCTTTCTCTCTGTCTCTCTCTCTCTCACTGTCCACTCTGTCAAAAAAAAACAAACAAAAAAAAAAGTGAGATGGAAGAATCAGAGACAACACTATAAGTTTAAAAGCATCAAGGACTATAAGGGAAAACATATTTATCTAAAAGGAGATTATAAAAATATCAAAGAGATTTTCTGAATGCCATAAAAGTTTTAAGGAGCCAGCACATACTAAAATACTTCTACAAAACAAGTAAACACATTTTGATTTTCTTTACAAAAACAGAAAGAAAAACACAGTAAGGTACTTTTTGAAACTTAACGTGAGGCAGTTAAATTGAACTTCTGGATTGTTACAGTATATAAAATTACTTAAGCATGACTAAGTATTATGAGAAGAAATTTTTATAATTTTCAGATTTAAATAAATTTTGCAAATACTACATCTTCCCATTCATACTATCTTAAGTAAGTGGATTCAAGCTTATTAATATTTGCAAAAATGGGGATGCTAATATAATACTATGAATGTTTTCCTAAGCAATTTTTATATCAGTGAAGGAACTGAAATCACTTCTCTAATTTGATTAAGAAAGTACATATTTTGTTTAATAATTAGGAAAAAATAGTAAAAAGCAAAAAATAAACAAACCATTAAATCACTGGCTTATATAAAGAACCCAAACATAATTGTTTTTTAATATTTTTTTTAAACTTACATGAGAGGCAGAGAGAGAGAGAGAGAGCGCAAGAATGGTTCACATTTGATGGTTCACTCCCCAAATGCCCACAATGGCTAGGGTTGGGCCAGGTTCAAAGATAGGAGCCAGGAACTCAATCCAGGTCTCCCTCATTGGTGGTAAGAACCCAATTATTTGGACAATCCATAGGTTCTGCATCAGTAGGAGCCTGGAGTCAAGAACCAGAGCTGGGTATCAAGCCCAGGTACTACAACATGCAAGATGGCCATCTTAAGCACTTCAGGAGTGGGGAAACTCTTCTGCCAAGGATCATTTGGACACTTACATCATTCGTGGGTCATACAAAATTATCAACTTAAAAATTAACCTCTGTGACGCAATGGGTTAAAGCCCCAGCCTGCAGTGCCGGCATCCCATATGGGCCCCAGTTTGAGTCCCGGCTGCTCCACTTCCGATCCAGCTCTCTGCCACGGCCTGGGAAAGCAGTGGAAGATGGCCCAAGTCCTGGGGCCCCTGCACCCGTGTGAGAGACCCAGAAGAGGCTCCTGGCTCTGGATCAGCTCAGCTCTAGTCGTGGCGGTCATCTGGGGAGTGAACCAGCGGATGGAAGACCTCTTTCTCTATCTCTCCGGCTCTGCCTCTCCCTGTAACTCTGTCTTTCAAATAAATAAAATAAATCTTTAAAAAAATTAGCCTACTATAGATTTATTGAATTTTGAGTCCAACCTCTGGTTGCCTTGGCAGGGCGAGATCAAATGATTTTGTGAGTCTTATATGGTCTGCAGATTAGACAGTCCTCACCCATGCATTAGGCTAAATGCCTGCCCCCACCCCCCAAAAGATAACTTTGAATGAAGGTGAACTATCCCCCTTACAAACTATCTGTTTCAGACAAAGAGATCAGATACAAATAGTACCTTATTATGACCATTTGATTTTTCAGTCAGGTCAGGAGACTGAGGTCTACTTCTGGGACTAGGCCACTCTTCTCCAATCAAAGATGTCCTCAGGGAGACCTTGTTTAATTGCTGAATGTATAGGAAGAGCAGAAACTGCAGGGTGTCCACTGATAGCTGTCCACAAAGAAAACAAAGGATGAATACATATTAAAACAGTATCAATCACTAGTGTACAACTAAGTGGACATTGTAAACTAAACTGACAAGTTTGCTGGTCTTAAAAAACAAATTTAGAAGCATTGCTAGCTTTTGATAACTGTGTCTCTGCCACCCAGATACAGGAATTGCTAAAACTAATCCAACAGGAGCCATTTACCTTCCCAGAAAGCTGTGCTGCCATCTATGACCATAGAAATCCTCTCTCAAAATTGAAGAAAAGGGCCAGTGCCGCGGCTCACTAGGCTAATCCTCTGACTGCAGCGCCGGCACCCTGGGGTTCTAGTCCTGGTCGGGGCGCCAGATTCTGTCCCGGTTGCTCCTCTTCCAGTCCAGCTCTCTGCTGTGGCCCGGGAAGGCAGTGGAGGATGGCCCAAGTACTTGGGCCCTGCACCCGCATGGGAGACCAGGAGGAAGCACCTGGCTCCTGGCTTCGGATCAGCGCAGTGTGCCGGCCACAGCGGCCATTGTGGGGGTGAACCAACGGAAAAAAAAGGAAGACCTTTCTCTCTGTCTCTCTCTCCCTCTCACTGTCCACTCTGCCTGTCAAAATAAATAAATTAAAATAAATTTAAAAAAATTGAAGGACAGGATGAAGTACAAACTTTCTTAAAGTATATTATTTCAGAAGTTAAAAAATAAAAACTGGGGCCGGCACTCTGGCATAGCAGGTAAAGCTGCCACCTGCAGTGCTGGCAGCTGGTTCTAGTCCTGGCTGCTACACTTCCGACCCAGCTCTCTGGTATGGCCTGGGAAAGCAGTAGAAGACAGTCCAAGTCCTTGGACCCCTGCACCTGTGTGGGAGACTGGGAGGAAGCTCTTGGCTTCTGGCTTTAGATCTGGCACAGTTCCGGCCATTGTGGCCATCTGGGGAGTGAACCAGCGGATGGAAGACCTCTCTCTCTCTCTGCCTCTCTGTAACTCTGACTTTCAAATAAAATAAATAAATCTTTTAAAAAAATTAAAAACTTAGTAATTTGAGTAGATATATGAATAGGTGTTAGAAAGGAAAAAGGAAATTCAGTGAAGACATGTTAAGTTTAACCCAAGGTTATGAAGTTTATTAAGAAAGTTTAAGACATTAGTGCAACACCTGAAATTGTATATGTAATTTTTTGGTTTATGTGCCTTTTGCTGGGCAGTAGGCCTCAGGTTTTCATAAAATTATTTTAAAAAGATTTATTTATTCATTTCAAAGGCAGAGTTACAGAGAGAGAGAGAGAGAGAGAGCATGAGACAGAAAGTTTGTCCATCTGCTGGCTTACTCCCCAAATGGCCGCAACAGTTAATGCTGTTGAGACAGAAGCCAGAAGCCAGGAACTTCTTCTGGGTCTTCCACGTTGGTGCAGGGGTCCAAGTACTGGGTCCAGTTTCTGCTTCTTTCCTGGGCACATTAGCAGGGAGCTGGATCAGAAGTGGAGCAGACAGAATTCAAATTGGCACCCATATGGGATGCTGGTGTCGCAGGTGGCAGCTTTACCCTCTATGCCACAATGCCAGCTCCCATCAAATTCTTAAAGGAGTGTTTGACTTAAAGAAAAAAAAATCACTACAGCTTGATATACATATAAAATTATTTCTTATTTGAGGAAGGTTGTGGTTTGAAGTTTTTGATTATCCTCATATACCCATCACTATAGAAATACAGGAGAGACAAAGAAAGAGAAGTGATGTATCAGTCTACAGTCAGATTTACCCTATTTCCCAAACTAGATAAACATTACTATCATTTAATCAAAAAATATAAATTTTCAGAATCATCTAGACCTATTCACTGCCAATATGGAGCCCCAAATCAATGTATTTTATAGATTTTCACTTCCTTAAACTTTTTGAAATAACTACAGAATCACATGCAATTGTATGAAATAAAACACAGCTGCCCTGTGCCCTTTACCCAGCTTCCCCCACTGCAAACACCATAGCACAACGCTACAACCAGGATACTGACACCAACACATTCAAAACAGAACATTTCCATCAACACAAAGATCTGTAGTGTTGCCCTTTACAGCCATACTCTCCCACCACAGCCCTTCCTCAGACTCTTGCAACCACTTATCTGTTCTCCAATTCTCTAATTTTATCTTTTCAAGATTATAGAAATAGAATCAGACAATATGTAATCTTTTGGAATTGACTTTTTTCACTTTGGATAACTCCCTACATTTATACATACTTCTATTTTAACAGTTATTTGTTATAACATTATTTCTTTAAACAGTCTCCCTGTGATACTTTACCTTTCCATTTGCATATCCCTAGTAACTAGCAAACAACCTGGTACATAATTAGTACTGAAAAAATTTGGAACTTCTTGAAGGTTTTATTCAGCTCTATGTCTAAAATACCTGTTACTGTACCTGTAGGCAACAAATATGAAGGATCAATAAAAAGTTCACAGAAAATGAGTGCAATGAAAAGAACTGAGCACTGATTTCAATTTTGGGGCATCAAAATAAACACTTCTGGAAGAACCTTATATTTTATTAACGAATAACGAAAATGCCCTTCCCTTCTTAGTTGTGTGACAAACTTTCCCCAATTTCCAAAAGTTTGTTTAGATATTACCCCATGAGGCAGAAACTGGCTAGATGCTAACTAAATGCCTTTCTTTCCCTTCTTCCTGGACACACAATTAGATGGCATTTCCCAGCATCCCTTGTAGTTAGATATAGTACAACTGAGTTATAGTCAATAGAATGTGGTGAATTTATATTTACCACTATTAAGCTTGATCCACAAAACTCTCACAAAACAAATAGAACAAAAGGACTCTGATGACCCCTGGCCACAGCTGTGGTAACCTGTGTTATTATTTACCAGTGTTCACGTCTCCATCCTTAAAAGAAGCCCTACCCATGGCCATAGGGTCTTCCTTACCTCCTGTGAGGTGGTTTCTTTTCCCCATCTCATTGACTTGAGGCTTCGCCATGTGACATACATATGTTTAGCCAATGGAAGGAAAGCAGTCACAGCTTACATTACATCTGGGCAGCAGTTTTTAGATTACATCTGAGCAAAACTTTTAAGAAGCATCATGAGAACCCAGAAATAAACTCACACATACATGGTCAGCTAATTTTTTCCAGGTGGAGCTAGTTGTTCCTGTCATGCTCACAGAACCTCTTTACAGATCCCTGCTGCAGGCCTTATCCCACTGTGTTGTGGTTGTTGGTTGTTTGCGTTGTCTTCTCACTACAGTGACTCTGTGTTCCTTGAGACAGGTCCCAGGTCTCACTCAGTTTGCATATTCATCACTTAACATTGCTTATGTCCAATAAGAGGTGCTCAGAAAATGGCTGTCAAATGGATGAGCCAAATCACTCAAACATCTGTCAACTCCAAGTTATTCCCTAAATTCTAACTTCTCTTAAATCTAGTCCCTGTAAGACCACTTGCCTCACTTCACTCCACAGAATTTTCCTTCTGTAATTAGAAAAGGTAAATTAAGAAACCTATTGCTTCACAGAACGGATGTCCACAATGGTTATTTTGACGAATGATATGAAGCTTTTAGAATAGTTACTAGCTGTATGACCTTACCATACCTCAATTTTCTTGTGCATAAAATGGGTGTTAGTGATGGTATTTCGGATATCACTCCAAAGCACAGGCAACAAAACCAAAAATAAACAAGTAGGGGGCCAGCACTGTGGCATAGCAGGTAAAGCCGCCAGCTGCAGTGCCGGCATCATACAGGAACTGGTTCGAGTCCTGGCTGCTCCACTTCAACTAGCTCTCTGCTATGGCCTGGGAAAGCATTAGAAGATGGTCCATGTACCCACATGGGAGACCCGGAGGAAGCTCCTGGTTTTGGATCGGCCCAGCTCTAGCTGTTGCAGCCATTTGGGGAGTGAACCAGTAGATGGACGACTTCTCTCTCTGCCTCTCTGTAACTTTGCCTTTCAAATAAATAAATCTTAAAAAAAAAAAAAAAAAAAAAGCGGTGTTACATCAAATTAAAAAGCTTCTGTATACAAATAAAACATTCACCCTTTTAAATGACAGGCAGCACTAGCATCCCAAAGGGTGCCAATTCAAGTCCCAGCTGCTCCACTTCTGATCCAGCTCCCTGCTAGTGTTCCTGGTACAGCAGCAGAAGATGGCCCAAGTTCTTGGGCACCTACAACTCATGTGGGAAACCTGGAGGAAGCGCCTGGCTCCTGGCTTCAGCCTGGCCCAGCTCTGGCCATTTGGGGAGTGACCAGTGGCCGGAAGAGTGCTCGCTCTCTCTGTCTCTCCCTCTCTCTAACTCCTCCTTTCAAATAAATAAAATCTTTAAAAAAAAGAAAAGAAGAGAAGAGAAGAGAAGAGAAGAGAAGAGAAGAGAAGAGAAGAGAAGAGAAGAGAAGAGAAGAGAAGAGAAGAGAAGAGAAGAGCAACCTATTGAATGAGAGAAAATATTTGTAAACCATATGGCTAATATGATAATGAGGTTAGTATCCAAAATATGTAACAAACCCCTACAACTCAAAAGCAAGAAAACTAAATAGTCTAATTAAAAAATGGTCAAAGACTTGAATAGACATTTCTCTAAAGACACACAAATGGGCAGCAAGTATATGAAAAGACCCTCGATATCACTAACCATCAGGGAAATGTATTTGTTAGGATGGCTATTATTAGAAAAACAAAAGATTTAACAAAACTGGCAAGGATGTGGAGAAAAGAGAACATGTTATACTGCTGATTGGAATGTAAACTGGCACAGCTGTTATGAAAGACAGTATGGATGTTCCTTAAAAAGTAAAAATGGAACTAACATGATTCAGCGATCTTACTTCCATTTATATCCAAAGGAAATGAAATCAGGGTCTTGAAGAGATACCTGTACTCACATGTTTGCTGCATTGTTATTAACAATAGCCAGTACATGGAAACAACCTAAATGTCCATCAACTGAAGAACGGGTAAAGAAAATCTGTGTGTGAAGGGGTATCCCCAAAAGAACATTACTCAACCTTCACAAAGAGGGAATTCCTGCCATGTTCAACAACATGGATGAATTGGGAGAACATTATGCTAAGTGAAATGAGCCAGATACAGAAAGACAAATATTGTATGATCTCACTTCCACGTGGAATCTGAAACAGCTAAATTCACAGCAGACAGAGTAGAATGATGACTGCCAAAGGCTGGGAGAAGGGGCAAATGGAAAGGTCATGGTCAAGGTTACAAAGTTTCAGTAATAATGAGATAATTAAGTCCTGAAGATCTTTAAAGCATAATGATTATAACTCATAGTTTAGAATTTATATACCGTATGATATACTTGAAATTTTCTAAGAGGGTAGATCATAGCAGGTTAAGAGTTGGTAATTATAAAGGAGACGAGAAATTTGGAGAGGTGATGAATATGTGTATGGCCTTGCTGATGGTGATGGGTTCACAGTATATACTTATTCCAAAACTCATTGAGTTGCATATGTACATTAAATAAGAAAAAATGAAGCATTACAAATTTCTGCCTCCTCTGTGACCATTCCTTTCTGTGCCCAGAATAGTCATAACCTACAGAGTTTACTTCTGCTGGGTTCCCAAAGGAGATTACACAGCCACTCCACAGCCTGGAAGTGTCACAGCTAAAGAGCAGCAGGCACACAAAATGTGCAAGAAAGAAGCCTTCATTACTAAGACACTAGAATGTTTTTTCCTGCAAAGCTGATTAATAATGACTCTAGCCGGCGCCACGGCTCACTAGGCTAATCCTCCGCCTTGCAGCACCAGCACACCAGGTTCTAGTCCCAGTCGGGGCGCCGGATTCTGTCCCAGTTGCCCCTCTTCCAGGCCAGCTCTCTGCTGTGGCCAGGGAGTGCAGTGGAGGATGGCCCAGGTCCTTGGGCCCTGCACCCCATGGGAGACCAGGATAAGTACCTGGCTCCTGCCATCGGATCAGCGCAGCATGCTGGCCGCAGCGCGCCGGCCGCGGCGGCCATTGGAGGGTGAACCAACGGCAAAAGGAAGACCTTTCTCTCTGTCTCTCTCTCTCTCACTGTCCACTCTGCCTGTCCAAAAAAAAAAAAAAAAAAAAAAAGACTCTAGGGGCCAGCACTGTGGTATAGCAGGTTAAGCTGCCTGCGGTCCCGGCATCCCATACTGGCACTGGTTTGAGTCCTGAATGCTCCACTTCTGACCCAGCTCCCTGCTGATGACCTGGGAAAGCAGCAAAGGATGGCCAAAGTGCTTGGGACCCTGCACCCATGTGGGAGACCCAGAAGAAACTCCTGGCATCTATCTGGCTTTGGATTGGTCCAGCTCTGGCCATTGTGGCTATCTGGGGAGTGAACCAGCAGATGGAATAACTCTCTCTCTGTCTCTCCCTCTGTCTGTCTCAAGTAAATAAATAAATCTTTAAAAATAATAATGATAGGGGTGGGAACTATGTTCAGTGGGTTAATCCTCCGCCTGCAGTACAGGCATCCCGTATAGGCACTGGTTTGAGTTCCAGCTGCTCCTCTTCCAATCCAGCTCTCTGCTATGACCTGGGAAAGCAGTAGAAGATGGCCCAAGTGCTTGGGCCCTTGCACCCGTGTGGGAGACCTGGAAGAAATTCCTGGCTCTTGGCTTCAGATAGGCCTAGCTCCGACCATTGCAGCCATTTGGGGAGTGAACCAGTGGATGGAGGATCTTTCTCTCTCTGTCTCTCCCTCTCACTGTCTGTAACTCTACCTCTCAAATAAATAAAATCTTTAAAAAAATAATAATGATAATAATGACTCAAAAATACAGAAGCAAAGGGGCCAGTGCTGTAGTGCATCAGGTAAAGCTGCTGCCTGCAGTGCCAGCATCCCATGAGTGCTGGTTTGAGTCTCAGCTGCTCCACTTCCAATTCAGCTCTCTGCTATGGCCTGGGAAAGCAGTAGAAGATGGCCCAAGCCCTTGGGCTCCTATATCTACATGGGAGACCAGAAAGAAGCTCCTGGATCCTGACTTTGTATTGGCCTAGCTCCAGCCATTGTGGCCATTTGGGGAGTGAACCAGCAGATGGAAGACCTCTCTGACCTCTCTCTGCCTCTGCTTCTCTGTAACTCTGTCTTTCAAATAAATAAATCTTGTTAAATTTCTTTCTTTCTTTCTTTTTTTTTTTTTTTTTGACAAGCAGAGTAAGACAGTGAGAGAGAGAGAGACAAAGGTCTTCCTTCTGTTGGTTCACCCCCCAAATGGCCGCTGCGGCCAGTGTGCTGCGCCGATCCAAAGCCAGGAGCCATGTGCTTCCTCCTGGTCTCCCATGCGGGTACAGGGCCCAAGCACTTGGGAAATCCTCGGCTGCCCTCCCGGGCCCCAGCAGAGAGCTGGCCTGGAAGAGGAGCAACCGGGACAGAATCCGGCGCCCCAACCAGGACTAGAACCCGGGGTGCCGGCGCCACAGGTGGAGGATTAGCCTAGTGAGCCGTGGCGCCAGCCGTTCAAATAAATCTTTAAAACACAGAAGCAAAGATCTGGGAGTCACTGTTTGAATAACAGCATCCCAGAAATTCATCCAACCAGGTACAACTGTGTTGCACTACTACAAGAATGTGAAAAATAAAGTTACTGTTTTAAGCCCCTGAAATGCTTGCTACTGTAATTATCCTACTTATTAATGTATTTCCTAATTAATATACTCTGTGAAGCCTTTTCTTTTTTTTATAATTTATTTATTTATTTATTTTGACAGGCAGAGTTAGACAGTGAGAGAGAGACAGAGAGAAAGGTCTTCCTTCCGTTGGTTCAACCCCCAAATGGCCGTTACGGTCAGCGTGCTGCGCCAATCCAAAGCCAGGAGCCAGGTGTTTCCGGTCTCCCATGCGGGTGCAGGGCCCAAGCACTTGGGCCATCCTCGGCTGCCCTCCCGGGCCACAGCAGAGAGCTGGCCTGGCAGAGAAGCAACCGGGACAGAATCTGGTGCCCCGACTGGGACTAGAACCTGGGGTGCCGGCACCGCAGGCGGAGGATTAGCCTAGTGAGCCGTGGGGCCGGCCTCTGTAAAGCCTTTTCTAATAATTGATAAGAATCATTCTCTGTTTCCGTACTTTATGCCTACCTCTATTGTTTTATTTATTATCACACTAGTAAACAGCACTTTTTTACATACCAGCTTTCCTTCCTGGCCTATGAGGTCTGTGAGGGCCGAGATGCCGTCCTAATCATCTCTGCACATAGCAGATGCTCACTTAAAAACAATCAGCTGATCTGACCATAACATATCAATGGCTCATAACACTCACTCATCCCAAAATATTGTTAAAGTCAATGAAAATATTTCCTTCTTTTAATTACAAGAATCTTATAATGTTACTGCTTTGGGAATAGGTGGATTAGAATTGTTAAATAAGGATTAATTCACTGAATACATTAAATACTGCCAAACTGGAACTGCTACAACTCAAACGATACTTTGAGATCACAACGGTCATCAACCTAAAACCTCAAACTACACAGAGCTAGCAGAAAAACCGACGGATGCTTTATTTCCCAAATTTAACACACACACATAAACCCAGCCATACCTGGTTTCTCTGCTTTTCAACTTCATCCTCAGACGTGCAGTTGGACAGAAGCTCAGACCATTCCAGGCGCTCCTCAGGGGTCTTCACCGAAAGACCCTCAAATATTTCAAAGTAAAGCCATGCCACGTCCTTAGGCAACTGCAGCTTCCCGCACGCGATGTGCCTCCATGCCGACCAGTAGAGGCGTGGGTACGCTCCCTCGCTGGCCCGCGTGCGCACGTAGGTGGAGATCTTCCTGAGGTAGTGAAGGCTGAACTTGGAGGGAGGGGGCATTTGCAAGGCACCCACTAAAAAGGGTTCCGCTTTTACCCAGAGGAGAACTCCGGACTGATCCATATTAGCTCTGAGGACATCTGGGTGACAAGGCTTCTTTGCATACCTAGGAAACAAAGTTTCTTCACTGACTGATATGAAACAAGTATCCCTCACACATTTTCTTGGAAGATGACCCCCTCCCTTCACTGCTTTTAAATGTACTACATCATCAGTTTAAAAGAACAGATCTTTGGTCAGCTCTCATTACAACCTATTTGAGGGAAAAAATGATCTTACTTAAATTGTTAGAAATGGTTGTTTTAGGGAAGATGTGAAAATGCTTTCAGTCTGAGGTGGACCCCCTGCTTAGGACAGGAAGATGGAACAGAGGGTGGAGGGAGCCATCCTATCACAGGAAACCTTGCTGTACCCTGGGTAGGAGCACTGGTCAAAACAGGGGAGTACAATGTCACAGAACGCAATCACTTACACACAGAGAATGGTTGAAGACTTGAATGTTAGCAAACCATACAAGATCAACAGGGAAGGGGGCCAGCACTGTGGCATAACAGGCAAATCTGGTGCCCATATGGGTACTGGCTCATGTCCTGGCTACTCTTCTTCTGATCCAGCTCTCTGCTGTGGCTTGGGAAAGCAGTGGAAGATGGCCCAAGTGCTTGGGCCCCTGCACCCACATGGGAGACCTGAAGGAAGCACCTGGCTCCTGGCTTCAGATCAGCTCAGCTCCGGCCATTGCAGCCATTTGGGGAGTGAACCAGCAGATAGAAGACCTTTCTGTCTCTCCCTCCCTCTGTAACTCTGCCTGTCAAATAAATAATAAAAAACTTTAAAAAAAGAAAAAAAGGTTCAATAGGAAGCCTTAATATAAGGTATAAACACAAGCATCAAAAATAGATCAAGGGCAATTAAGGCATCTACATTCCCTGTTTCAGTGACACACCTCTTCTGCAATATTTTATCATGCTCAGATCAGGTGTAATATTTTTAATTTTGTTTGTTGTTTTTGCTATACCTATGATACACAATTTTTATGGAATATTCATAAAATTAAAAATAAGCGAACCAGGGGCTGGTGCTGTGGCATAGCAGGTAAAGCTGCCACCTGCAGTGTCAGCATCCTATATGGGCACCAGTTCATGTCCCGGCTTCTCCACTTCCGATCCAGCTCTCTGCAGTGGCCTGGGAAAGCAGTAGAAAATGGCCCACGTGCTTGGGCCCCTGCACCCGTGTAGGCAACACAGAAAAAGCTCCTGGCTCCTGGCTTTAGATCAGCCCAGGTCTAGCCGTTGCTGCCGACTGGTGAGTGAACCAGCAGATGGAAGAACTCTCTCTTTCTGCCTCTCCTTCTCTAACTCTTTCAAAAAAATCAATCAATCTTTTAAAAAAATAAGGGAATCATCCAGTCTCAGCACTAACCATTTTATTATGCTTCCTTTTTGTCTTTTTCCTAAGCATTGCTGTGTTTTTAAATTTTTACGAGGATTCTTTTACCTATTCTACTTTAGTGTATGTCAAATTTTCTATCAGCTGTTTTCACCATTATAAATAATGCTATGACCACTACCTTTCTTAGTATTTCCTGCATTAGGAATTATTTCCTAGAGAAAATTTGCAGAAGTGCATTTGTATCTGATATTTCTGAAGCTCATTGATATATAGTCCCATTACTTTCCAAATGAGTTTTATCAAACTCCACCATCTCCACTTCATTGAGCACCCTCAGCAGTAACATCAATAAAAAAAAAAAACCTCTCTGGGGCCGGCGTTGTACAGCCTGGGGAGTAAAGCCACCAGCTGCCACACTGGCATCCCATATGGGCTGCTCCACTTTTGTTACAGCTCCCCCATTAAGGCCTGGGAAAAGCTGGGGGAAGATGACTCAAGTCTTTGGAAACCAGAAGAAGTCTTGGCTTTGGCCTGGCCCAGCCCTGGCCATTGTGGCCATCTGGAGAGTGAACCAGCAGATGGAAGATCGATCTCTCTCTCTCTCTCTCTCTGACCCTCCCTCTCTGTAACTCTTTCAAATGTTTTTTAAAAAAAACTTTTCTTATGACTGATGCAAAATGTTTTATTGCTGTAATTTTGGCATTTGATTCTAATAATATTGTGCTTTTCTTGAAAATAATCTGTTCAAAAAATTACCATTGGATGCTTTCTACGGGCCAGGTAGCACATTAAATATTTTGCAAACCTCATATCCCCCTGGAGATACCTAGGATTATCCTCATTTTCAGAGGAGAAAGCCGAGGCATAGGGAAGTTAAGGGATTTCCTCAGCTGGCACAACCCTGGATTAGAATTTAGGCCGGACTTCGCGATGCTTTGCTGCGGACCTACTCTGGGCACCCAGTGTTGGGAGAATCCGTGGCGTGAACTCGCGGGAGGGCAGCTGGCAGCCGCCTCCGTTGACAGCTGTGACTCGGAGTCTTTCCGATCAACCTGGACGAAATTACAGGAGGGAGAACCGAGCTCTAGTACGGGAAGCAGGCTGGCTGCTCCGTGAGGGACTGAGCTCCGGTCCCTGAGGGCGCAACCCTCCATTCTAACTCTGAGACTGGCGGTGGGGGCGGGGTGTGTTTAAATTCGTAATCAAAACCTGGAGCTCCTGCCCTCAGGGATGAGAGCTTTTCAAGACCGGAGATCCCCGGTGCGGCTGAGGCTTCGCCCGCCCCCTCCGATGCGATCCGGGGCAGGACCCGGCTAGTGCCGCCGAGCGCCCCGACCGAACTTGGGGAACACGGACGTCCCAGCTGACAGGTTAGGTCGCCGACCCAAGACCCGCCGAGCGCCAGGGTAGCCTCTCCGGCCTGAGCCTGGAGTCTAACCCGCCCAGCCCGCTCTCCCCGGCGCCAGCCCATGCGCGGTTACCTGCAAAGGCCGGCGCCGCTCCGCCGCCCCGCGCGTCCCGCTCGCCGGCCCGCCCAGCGTCTGCCGCCGCGCCCATCGCGCAAGCGTGAGGCCTCGTACCATCGAGACCGGCGGACCTTGTTGCTAGAGCGGCGCCTGCGTCTGCGTCTGCGCAAGACAGGGGCCGCCAAGTCCTGGAGGCTAGACGTGGAGTCAGCACCCCCTTCCCCAGTCTTTGCTGTCGCGTCTTTGAATCCAGGGCGTAGGTGGATTCCTATTGTCCCACAGAACTGTGGCCAGCGAGTAGCGGCGGGGAGGGTTACGCGCTTTGATCAGCAGTAATGGCGGTTGGACTTTTAAAGCGCTTTCTATCGGATGCGCACCTCAGGCTTCCTTAAGTACACTTGTTTCACTGCTGATGCAGGTAGGGCGTAGGGAGGGGAGAGTAACGCATCCCTAAGGTCACACAGCAAAAAACGGAGCCGAGGTCAAAGCCGGCGTCTAAAGCCAAACGCATTCTCGCGGCTTTCCCGCTGTGCCTGCCTCCCTAAGGCTCTTTTGGAGTCCACCCAGCAGAAGGCACCACTCCTTCCTTCCATTTCGTGACGTCAGACTTGTCCCGCTTGCTTAATTCGTTTTAGCCTCTCTAGGTGTGAGAGATACAAAGGTAAATCAGACCATAAAATGCAATTCCGTTCCCCTTTTATGTGGCCTCTCTTCCGGAAAGCAGAGACTTCAGATTTAAACAGAGCAGGTTTACGATGCAGGCGCACCATTCACGGACCTTGAGCAATTCACCACCTCTCTACACCTTGATTTTCTGCAACAGTTATTGTTTGTGGAGCACCAGCCACTGTGTGTTTGGCATAGCGCTGGCGCACAAAACACACAAAACCCCTGCCTTCCTGGTGTGTATAACAGAATAGACAATACTGTACATATTAAGGAATAAAAAGGGATAATTTCGGATAGTAATAAACCTGTGAAGGTTGAGGGCAGGGGTACAGGAAATGTCCCTTTGCGGTGCCAAATTGAAGCTGTGACCTGAATAAGAAGGTAGCCACACAGAGACAAGCAACTTTTACTCAAGACTATTTGAGCATGTACTCCGTGCCAGGCACTACTCCACGGTACTTTATATAACTATTAACAGAACAGTAGCTTCAGGCTTTCATAAAACTACCGCTTCACTGTCACAGGATGGGGGGCAGGGATGAAAATAAAAGGGAGCGGGCCCCGGCGCTGTGGTGCAGTGGGTTAAAGCCCTGCCCTGCAGTGCCAGCATCCCATATGGATTCCAGTTTGAGTCCCGGCTGCTCTACTTCTGATCCAGCTCTCTGCTGTGGCCTGGGAAAGCAGTAGAAGATGGCTCAAGTGCTTGGGCCCCTGCACCCACGTGGGAGACCCAGAGGAAGCTCCTGGCTTCAGATTGGCACAGCTCCAGCTGTTGGGGTCATCTAGGGAGTGAACCAGTGGATGGAAGTCCTCTCTCTCTCTCTCTGCCTCTCCTTCTCCCTTTGTTTAACTCTGACTTTCAAGTAAATAAATCTTTAAAAAGGAAAAAAAAAAAAAAAGGAGCAATGTAAGAGTAAGGAACTCAGTAAGGACTAATTTTAATTGGTTGATCAGGGCAGCCTTAGGTGGCTAATATCCAAATTTTTAAGCGGAGTTACCCATGTTAAGGTCACGGTGAAGGGTATTTCAGATAGAGGGAAGAGCTAGTATAAAAGTACTAATGTTCTTGGTGTGTTCAAAAAGAAAAAGGAAGCCAGTTTTGTGGGGATAAAGTAAAGAGTATAATAGGTAAGGTACAGATCATATAAGGATTGTAAACCAGAATAGAGTTAGGGTTTCGTTTGAAGCGCAATGAAAAGCCATTCAAGAATTTTAAGCAGGTTAATGACATGACTTGACATGATTTTTAAAAACATGGAGTGAGACGGGGTAAAAACAGGTATTAAGAAACTAAGAACAGAGGGAGGCCGGTGTTGTGGTGCAGTGGGTTAAACCGAGGCCTGCGACACCAGCAACCCATACGGGCGCCAGGCCAATCCAGCTTCCAGCTAGCGTGCCTGGGAAAGCAGCAGAAGATAGCCCAAGTGTTTGAGCTCCTGCATCCTCGTGGGAAACCCTGATGGAGTTCCAGGTTCCTGGCTCGGGCCTGGCCCATCCTGGGCCACAGCCATTTGGGTGCAAATAGAGTGGCTGCAAGGAGACTTGTTAGGAGGCCCTGCCACGTGAGAGATACAGAGTGGGCCTGGAGGCGTATTCATGGAGATGCAGAGGAGCGGACGGACAGGTTCAAAGTCTGGATCAGTTATGCAAGAAAGGGATCAAGGACGGCACCCTGCCGGTGCTTCTGTTTCTGTTTTTCCTGAACAAGGTGGTGCGTTTATTGTGATGACCAAAACTGGGAGGAAGGCGGGGAAGGCAAAGAATTCTCCCTAAGACTGTACTAAGTTTTTATTGGTTGCGTGCTAGACGTCTTACAAAAACATTTCCCGTTAAAATTTCCAACACTGCCAGTATGTGTTTTGTCTCCGCTGTGTTAATTAAGAGACTTGGGCTCAGACTGGGGCGGGGGTGTCTCACCGCTACGGCGTAATGGAAGACGAATCCAAGCTTAAATTAAGTCGGTCTGTTTCCACGGCCGCTGCTCTGTCCTATGCCTCTTGTCTATGCAACCGAGACGATTTCCGGGGTTGTTATGAGAACCTACAGTAAGATCTGCTAAGCAGCGAGTCCTGTGTACTGTTGGCTTGGAGTCCTCGTCCCCGCCCATTCCGCCGCAGTCCCGCAGCTCAGGCCTGCAGCGCGGAGTTCCCTATGAATGAAATTCCAAGAGTTCGAACCGAGATAAAATCTCCCTCCCACAATTGGCCAGTGCTGCTGGAGGAGCCTCGTGATTGGTGGGAAGTCCGAGGAGGCGGGCGATTGGGTCCTGTATCGCAGGTGCCCTCTCTAGGTCCCACCCTCCGCCTTTTACGTGATTTCTACGACCCCGGGGAGACCGGGGAGCCTCCTGCGGCGGCGCGGTCCTCTGACGTCTCCTCTTCTAATTGGCCGGGAGCTGAGGCTGCAGTTCTGAAGCGTAACTGGCTGCGCGCACCGCCTCGGAGGTGAAGTGTACTGTGCTGATTGGCCCTGAGGTGCCGGCCGCGTGTGATGTCCTGGCCAGTGATTGGCTCTCGCTTGCTGGGGGCTTCTCTCGCCGGGACTCGGACTCCCGGGAAGTGGTCTGGCCGGGAGGGGGGCAAGCCAGCTGTCTCTGCGGGCCGAGCGAGAGGGCCCCCGGCGTAAGACGGCCTCACAGGGCCGCGTGGGCTGGTGAGCAGACGCGGCGGCAGAGGAAGCTGTGAGGAGTGCTTGGGCCAGGGTCCGGCGTGGAGGAACCATGGCCCCGCAGAACCTGGGCACCTTCTGCCTGTTGCTGCTGTACTTCATCGGGGCCGTGATCGCCGGGTGAGGAACTGGCACCCGCGGGCCCGGGGTTGGAGCGTCAGCCTTCGCTGGGAAGCGGCAGGGTGGGCACTGAGGGGGCGGTAGGAGAAGCGGCTTTGCCAGATGAGGGAGTGGCGAGAGGGCATCGCCGCGGGACGGCCGTGAGTTGGTAGCGTGGGACAGGCTAATGGGTCGGGGAGAGAGCTGTGCGTGATCCCCGTGAGGGGCTTTAGATCCAAAGGCTCCATAAAGCTAAATTCGCCCGGAGGAGTGGGAGTTGGATGCAGTGCCAAAGACGGCGTTTGGGGGGCGGAGTGAGTTTGAGGGGGAGAAGGGGGCTGTGAGCGGAAGCAGTGTCGCCGGGTGCTAGAGAGGGAAGGGGGCGCCCGGCGGTGACTGCCAGGCAGAGATTTAAGAGGTGAGTCGCTGTGCCCTACTGAACCGAAAAACGGAGCCTGCAAGGAACCACGGGGAGGCTGGCATTAAAGTGAGAGGGTCGTCATGCCGGGCCGAGTGAGCAGAGCAGTGGGAAAGCTGCAGGGGCTGAAGGAATTGGGGTCGAGGAAGCAGACGGATCCGTTGGAGAGCCTTGTAGTTCCCAGCTTCGGAGCCGGTCAGCCTAAGCCGTCCTCATGCCCCGCTGTCTCTCTCCATGGTACATTCTGGAGAAGCTGGCTTGGCTTTTGAGCGGGAAGAGAAGTTCTCCAACAGGTGGTGAACTGGGATTCTAGCCTACGCTTGTGAACTCTGTAACCTCGAAGGACCCAGCTAAGTCCTCGTCTCTAACATGAGAATAATAATGTGCTACCCTTAGGCATGCACTAGGAACAGGTGAGCTCTTGAGGGTCCTCCCAGGCTTTAACAGGACCCTAAAAACCTGGCAACCCAGGAAGTGGTGTGCCAGGGTCGTATTTTGGGATGCAAGGAAGAGCAGACCTCAGTTTCTAGCAATTTAGAGGTTATTTTAAATGGGAAGGTACTACCTGGTAGGACCTTAAGTGCTTCTTAATCTCTTAAAAGATTTTAAAATGACTTTGTTGTCGTTTTTCCTTTTAAACATCTTCAGTTTCTGAGAAGTTAACTTCTAGATAGTGCTTTCTGATTTTTTTCCTTAGTATGTTTTTGTTAGTAATTTTTACACTTAAAGTAGCAAGTAAGGTGTTTAATAAAACATCAGTATAAATATTGTTACTAGTGGAGCTTTGAATTTTGGTTATTCATACAGGCAGCTCTTGAGCACTGTAATGTTGTTATAACTACCGTTGCTACTGGTGCTTTAAATCGTCGTTCTTGGTAAGGGCTCCTCCTGACTATAATGTTGACACTGAGCTATACCAGCCATCTTTTTCCTGCGTTTTTTGAGCTGCCATTTAACCATTTTCATATCAAGTACCTTCTAAGTAAGTCCCACTCATTATACTGTTAGCCCTTTTGCTATGAATTTTAGCATTTCTTTTGTTTGTTTGGTTCTTATCTCAAGAGATGTGAAGTATACATTCTGAGATTAGAGGAAGAACACCCATAATTAAGACTCATGGAATCCCTCTGGGTGATCATTTTAAAAACTAACACATGAAATAATTAAATGATTTTATTTCCTAAAGTGTAATCAAGAACTGTTGAAATTTAAAAAAAAATATTCTGTCATGCATCATCAGGAGCTTGACATCCTGAGCGTTTTTCCCTGGTGTATT